TCAGCAAAGAGAGTGGTTAGCTCGTGTGATCAGGGTACATAGAGTGTGGTTAGCTCGTCTGTTTAGGGTACATCAGAGGGTGGTTAGCTCGTCTGCTTAGGGTCCAATAAAGTGTGGTTGGCTCGTCGGCTCAGGGTCCAATAAAGTGTGGTTAGCTCGTCTGCTTGGGGTCCAACAGAGTGTGGTTAGCTCCTCTGCTTAGGGTCCAATAAAGTGTGGTTAGCTCGTCTGCTTAGGGTCCAATAAAGTGTGGTTAGCTCGTCTGCTTAGGGTCCAATAAAGTGTGGTTAGCTCGTCTGCTTAGGGTCACAATAAAGTGTCGTTAGCTATTCTGCTTAAGGTCCTACAAAGTGTGGTTAGCTCGTCTGCACAGGGTACAGCAAAGTGTAGTTAGCTCGTCTGCACAGGGTACAGCAGAGTGTGGTTAGCTCGTCTGCACAGGGTACAACAGAGTGTGGTTAGCTCGTCTGCATAGGGTCCATCAAAGTGTAGTTAGCTCGTCTGCACAGGGTACAGCAGAGTGTGGTTAGCTCGTCTGCACAGGGTCCATCAAAGTGTGGTTAGCTAATCAACACAGGGTCGAACAAAGTGTGGTTAGCGCGTCTGCACAGGGTCCAGGAGATTTTGGTTAGCTGGTGTGCACAGGGTACAGCAAAGTGTGGTTAGCTCGTCTGCTCAAGGTACAGCATAGTGTGGTAAGCTCGTCTGCACAGGGGTCAACAGAGTGTGGTTAGCTGGTCTGCACAGGGTACAGCAGAGTGTGGTTAGCTCGTCTGCACAGGGTACAGCAAAGTGTGGTTAGCTCGTCTGCTCAAGGTACAGCAAAGTGTGGTAAGCTCGTCTGCACAGGGGTCAACAGAGTGTGGTTAGCTCGTCTGCACAGGGTACAGCAGAGTGTGGTTAGCTCGTCTGCACAGGGTACAGCAGAGTGTGGTTAGCTCGTCTGCACAGGGTACAACAGAGTGTGGTTAGCTCGTCTGCACAGGGTCCATCAAAGTGTGGTTAGCTAATCAACACAGGGTCGAACAAAGTGTTGTTAGCGCGTCTGCACAGGGTCCAGGAGATTTTGATTAGCTGGTGTGCACAGGGTACCGCAAAGTGTGGTTAGCTCGTCTGCTCAAGGTACAGCATAGTGTGGTAAGCTCGTCTGCACAGGGGCTAACAGAGTGTGGTTAGCTGGTCTGCACAGGGGCTAACAGAGTGTGGTTAGCTGGTTTGCACAGGGTATAGCAGAGTGTGGTTAGCTCGTCTGCACAGGGGCCAACAAAGTGTGGTTAGCTCGTCTGCTCAAGGTAAATCAGATTGTGGTCAGCTCGTCAGTACAGGGTACAACAGAGTGTGGTTAGCTCCTCTCCACAGGGGCCAACAGAGTGTGGGTAGCTCGTCTGCACAGGAGCAAACAAATTGTAGTTAGCTTGTTTGCACAGGGTACAGCAGAGTGTGGTTAGCTCGTTTGCACAGGGTACAGCAGAGTGTGGTTAGCTCGTCTGTATAGGGTACAGGAAAGTGTGGTTAGCTCGTCTGCTCAAGGTACAGCAGAGTGTGGTTAGCTCGTCTGCACAGGGGCCAACAGAGTGTGGGTAGCTGGTCTGCACAGGGTACAGCAGAGTGTGGTTAGCTCGTCTGCACAGGGTATAGCAGAGTGTGGTTAGCTCGTTTGCACAGGGTATAGCAGAGTGTGGTTAGCTGGTCTGCACAGGGTACAGCAGAGTGTGGTTAGCTCGTCTGCACAGGGTCCAGCAGAGTGTGGTTAGCTCGTCTGCACAGGGTACAGCAGAGTGTGGTTAGCCCGTCTGTACAGGATACAGCAGAGTGTGGTTAGCCCGTCTGTATAGGGTACAGCAGAGTGTGGTTAGCTGGTCTGTACAGGGTACAGCAGAGTGTGGTTAGCTCGTCTGCTTAAGGTCCAACAGAGTGTGGTAAGCTCGTCTGCACTGGGTACAGCAGAGTGTGGTTAGCTCGTCTGCATAGGATACAGCAGAGTGTGGTTAGCTCGTCTGCACAGGGTACAGCAGAGTGTGGTTAGCTCCTCTGCACAGGGTACAGCTGAGTGTGGTTAGCTCGTCTGCTCAAGGTACAGCAGAGTGAGGTCAGCTCGGCTGCTTAAGGCACAGCATATAGCTGATTTATTTGCAAGCTCAATTGTAAAAACACCACATGGTTATCTCCCTTTATGCACTGTGCCCGCCTCCTACATCCACAACTTTTCTCCCGAACAATTTACCTTCTATTGTCATTATCTGTAATTCAGTGAATGTTTATTTTAACGGCCGTTTCCCTCACACCAGTAATCTATCAAACTGTACACATTTAATACATTTCAAACATACATCAAAATCACAGGTCTTCAATAGCAAGCTGACATACCGTGATATACTGTGTATATGAAAAACTTTTTTAAAGCACTTCAGTCAGCATCACGATCTTTTATAACGGTTAATGGATTTGGTGAGCTACACAACCCTATGATTAATCAAGTAAAAGGAGACACGACCTGTTATGAAAAATAAGGCATATATTAATTCAACATACAATATAAGAAGAACTCCAAATAAACTTTATTGTTTATTAATACATCTGAATTTTATACATATACTGAATCACTTTCTGTAATGCAGTTTTACCTTGCAAAGTCTAGTTAACTCAAATAAACATGACAAAGTCTCATATTCACACAGTAGTCGTAACGTTGACCTACTTAGCGCACAGAGACCCGCAACCAACCGCAACCTCAATAAATACAACGTTTTCCCTGCACTCGTGTCAGGTTTCTAATGCGCCGAAGACAATGCCTCATACTTGTCGTCTGCTCCAGAAACCATAGGCTATTGCGCAGTAATATTAAAATCTTTGAAATCTTTGGAGAGGTGGTGGTCTCCGGGTTCTGTTTAGGGCAATAGGTTTGGGGTACTTTGCATATTTACATATTCAAAACGTTTCTAACATCATTTGTATTTGTCAATAGAAACCACACCGAGACAACACATGTTCAATCTCATTATAATCAGATCTTAGTGCTCCCTATCGCTAAACAAATATCTGAGGACATCCCATTACCGGTCACGTCAGAACGACCTTTCATCCGAAATATCAAAGCATCGCTCACCACAATAAGAAAGTGACAGTTGAAATGTGATTTCTAATCATGCAACCTCGAAAACGTTAACACTGGGTATTCCGAACGACAGTTACGGCCCGTACGACTGATTCCGTCAAAATTATTGTCTGTCTATCGCTTTTGTGGGATAAACATTTGAACGGAGAAGGCTTTGCACAGAACGCGGGAAGCACTGCTATACGATCTCAACCATATATTAGACCTTCCGGAATGTTCGTTTGTTCAGTTTTCAAATTTTTAATCGAGAACTGTGTCAACATATTTTTCAAGCGTAGTCTGAAATGGAAGTCGCCAGGTTGAAACGAGTGCCTTAAAGCTCGAGAAAGCTGCTTTCTAATTGGCTGATTTCGACTTCTTGTTAGTCATTTCAGTGGTTGGTCAAAGTTCGGGAAAGGTCGTTCTGACGTGATCCGTAATGGGATTTCATCAGATCTTTGTTTAGCGAGATATCTTTGCAGCGAGAACTTAGGTCTGATTTTAATGAGACTGGCACATGGTTTTTTTTATGTTTTACACTGCTGTCGGAAATATGTCAGGGCAACCTATAAATAATCGAGTCTGGGCAGGACAAACCAGTGTTTGCTATCACGAGAAACCACTGTCGGAGTACGACTAAACTTATTCAACCAATACGCCCCTTTCGACAAGCATCAAGAGTGCTGGGGATCCACTCCAACCAGGGTTCACATGGGATGATATAGAATACATATGTTAATACATCCCTTAATCAAATACATTGTATTGTTGCTGCACAAGAAAACATTTTTGCCTTGTTATATTTGCATATTCTGTTATAACATTTTTTATCTTTTGGATTATGGAGGTTTTTAAGTGAATATTAAACCGACTTAACTGTCGTAAGCAAAAGGTCATATTTCGTGTGTAGTTAGTGAGTGAGTTAGTTGGGTTTAACGCCGGTTTTAACAGTATTCCAATCATATCATGGCGTGTCAGCTCAATGTGGGAGGAAAACCCGAAGTGATGCAGGTCTTAGACGTTTATCACTTCAGTGAAACCCACGAGCATCGGTATGGTGCTGACAAACCTAGAAACATAATCGGGGCGAACCGATATTTCGTGTGTAAGTTATTCCCGTATTTCTACATACTTCCTACATATCACCTGCATTGGCGTAGCCCGTTGAACAAAAATGCTGGTTCGCGGTCATCTCTACGGTGCAACTGTTTCATAAAGTTTAGTGTTATCTATTTTGTTGAATCTGTTTTGCCTGAAACCCTTGATGGGTGAATCACTTTCCACTGGGAACAAAAATAAATGTCATATTATGTCATATTTTTTTCTGAAATCACTTAAATTATTATCTAAAATACAATTTTCCACCAAAAGGTTTTTATCTTCGATTGTTATCGTATCTATAATACGATATAGACTGTGTGGTGTATCACTATGTATAAGACAATGTAGGCTCTGTTTTGTATAATTATGCATAATCTGGGTTGTATCATTATCTATAAGACGATGTAGGCTCTGGCATGGGTTGTATCATTGTGTATGAGACAATGTAGACTCTGGGTTGTATCATTGTTTATAAGACGATGTAGGCTCCAGGTTGTTTCAGATAATAATGCGCACTTCAATTCACACCATTCATTAATACATGAATGTGTTAATAGTACAATCAGTACTACATGACGCACGATACAAAGATTTCATTAAAAAAAATAACAAAGATGTAACAGGTTTGACTTCATCCTGCCTCATCCGAATCCACTGTGTCAGGATTGAGCAAGGCAACTGTTTGGGCAAGCAATGGAGACTCCTGTCAACATTATATATATTATCACATCCAGCCGGGTTGAGTCGTTATGGAACAGTATTGTCAGACATGTTCAGAACTGGTCACGTGATAACAATACGCCACACTTGTACATCATTCGTAAACATGGCTGCACAATCTCTGCCATTGTACGCTGCACAATCTCTGCCATTGTACAATGGCCGAAAGATGCCTCTTGTGGGACTTGGCACATGGCAGGTAAGTCTTATGTGTCTCCATTGAACTAATAATTGTATCTATACTGCAACTAGTACAAGCCACAATCAGCCACAATCAGCCACAATATAGGTCAGTGGAGCTATAAGCTATTGACAGCATTAATACACGTAGCCTATCCATCTGGGTAAGGTCGTAACCGTCAATTAGCTGGAATATTACAGAATGCGGGGTTTAACACACAAACAAGGTCCTGACTGAATTTTCATAAAAGAATTATTCTGCATGAGTGCAGCAATGTATGGAATAACATTTAGGAAGAGACATTATACTATACACACTGTTAGATATACATATCATTCTTACTCGAACTAAGGACGCGTTCGCAACGTGTAATACACATACACATAGCATCTACACTTAGTTATGCTCCTCATACATAAATGTTTTTGTTGGGTAGGGGTGGACGGGTTGTCGACATACGCATAGCATCTACACTTAGTTATGCTCCTTATACATAAATGTTTATGTAGGGTAGGGGTGGCCGGGTTGTCTACATACACACAGCATCTACACTTAGTTATGCTCCTTATACATAAATGTTTATGTTGTGTATGGGTGGCTGGGTTGTCTACATACACACAGCATCTACACTTAGTTATGCCCCTTATACATAAATGTTTATGTAGGGTAGGGGTGGCCGGGTTATCTACATACACATAGCATCTACACTTAGTTATGCTCCTTATACATAAATGTTAATGTAGGGTAGGGGTGGCCGGGTTGTCTTCATACGCACAGCATCTACACTTAGTTATGCTCCTTATACATAAATGTTAATGTAGGGTAGGGGTGGCCGGGTTGTCTACATACACATAGCATCGACACTTAGTTATGCTCCTTATACATAACTGTTTATGTAGGGTAGGGGTGGCCGGGTTGTCTTCATACGCACAGCATCTACACTTAGTTATGCTCCTGAAACATAAATGTTTATGTAGGGTAGGGGTGTTATGTAGGGTAGGGGTGGCCGGGTTGTCTACACACACATAGCATCTACACTTAGTTATACTCCTTATACATAACTGTTTATGTAGGGTAGGTGTGGCCGGGTTGTCAAAGACGATGCAAGTCACTGCGCTTCTCTTGGGCGTGCTTGAATGGATCATAATCCTAGATTCGCTTTGATTGTGAATCTTGGTTTTTACATTATACTTTCATTTTACTCTTTACAGAGACTGCCTTAATCACCGTTAAAGCTAAACTCTGGGTGATCCCTTTATTCTTCCCCGACCTTCAGGCGGGGAAGTATACGGGAAACGTTAATTTTGTGGCATGTATGTCGACATGTTGGTTTATTTGAAATTTCAAGCCACGCATTTACGGAAACAAAACATACAAATCATGTGCGTGGAATGTTGATGCTATTCTTTTCCAGCAATAAGATATACTTCAAAATCGTCTTTATGTTTCTAGTCATTAGCTGACATTATAAAACCATTCATGTGTAATCCGATGTCCTTTTTTCCTCAAGGACTAATTTTCTGATTTTCACGGTGTATACAAAAGAAGAACTGTGCTCCGGAGATCGTAAATAACAGCATAATAAAAATTATGTTCTGAATATGCTTATTCATGAACTACGACGACATCTCAATTTAAATGTAATATTGCTGAATTCCATATTCTACATACCACACTTTTGATTGTTTGGATGCTCATGTTCACTGGAAATATTTGGAATAGTTATATTCCGTATTTTGAATTAACCCAGTCCCCCGTGTTTTTTTTAATCAGGGCACCGCACATAGCCACATGTGAAACGTTTGGTAGCAAAGTCAAAGCAAAATCGGAGTAGTGAATTTGCATCAGGGCCGGGAATTTTTCAACCGTTTAATGGAATTCAATGTACAGCCGTAGCTCTGGTCACTCATATATTTTGTGTCCCATGGCTCAAATCTATTTGCATCTGTACCGTGTTCCACTGACCTCGATAATCTGTTGGATGTAGGCACAGCTCTCTACAGTCACATAGTTAACACCGAAGGCTATGAGGGGTATTTAGATCATAATCAGCTCCCAGCAGCCACTGCCTCAAGCGATATTATCTACCTAACAGATCAGTTTTATGGCTCCGTCACAGGTGCTCCAAATATTGAAGCAGGGAAAACAAATTTCATAGAATCTTTTCAACAAGCAATATTGATATCCCCGTCACTTTTGGTAACTTTTAATGATGTCTCCATTGCAATTTTTACGGATTCGATTCGTATGCATTATTTGACTCTCATCAGCGGAATGGTTTGGGTCAGATTGATCCGAATGGACAAGCGGTTTTACTTCTGTTTAGTAGTATGGATGAATTGTTATGTTACATCTTAACAGTACATCAGGCGACTATGCTTGTCGTAAGAGGCGACAAACGGGATCGGATAGTCAGGCTTTCGTTGATGCATGGCATTAAACGACAAACCAATCAATCATCATCATATGAACTCAAACCAGTCATTGTTACAAGTAAACCACATTCCACAACAGTTACTGACACTGGATAAAAAACAGTACATAGAAAAAAAACAAGTAACTCAACTCATCATGATCACAATTACTATTCTTTGAAAGAAAGAAATACAAAAAAGAAACTGACCAAAAAACGTAAAACAAGAGACGAGGAATCTCCGTTATTGATTAGTCCCGGTATTGAAATGTTCTCAAACTACCCGATAATATTTTAAGTATGTGCATCTGTGGTTGTGACAAAAAGACCTTATCCAGTATGACTTTTTTTGCCATATGGAGCCCTTAGTATTTTCATTTACATTATTATAACCAAATGCCAAGTGTAAAAAGAATGTGATCTATTATTTATCTGCCAATGTTGTTGGCAGTTTTGATACTATTTCCACTTGTTTATAATTACATTTGTGCCAGAAATTGCTTCCATTTCCTTCGATCTACTTTTTAAATAAAGACCCAGGTAAGAATAGGACTTCAGCAACCTATGCTTGCCGTAAGAGGCGACGACCAGGATTGGGTAGTCAGGCTCGCCGATTTGGTCGATGCATAACATCATATTCCAATTGTGTAGTTCGATGCTCTTGGTGTCAATCACTGGATGATCTGGTCCAGACTGGATTATTTACAGACCGCCGTCATATGGCTGGAATACTGCTGAGTGCGGCGTTAAACAAGAAACTATTTTTAAATAGACCTACCCTATGCACATGTATCAACTGTATTGCCCAATACTCAAAATAAATAATATTTTTTTCCACAACAGCGTTGTGTTATTTGTGGTTAATATAATTATGCTCCATCATGCCTTTCAGTAACATCATAACTATGCGTTTGTGAGGCATCACATATGACGGGGAACTTTGATGCTCTGCATCAATGTTTTCTTGTTTTTACTAGGATGAGTGCAAGGACACTATCCGTGCCGCATTGGACGCTGGCTACAGACACATTGACACTGCCTATGCATACCAGAACGAGGCCTTCATTGGGGAGGTGCTCCAGGAGTACTTCAAGGCCGGGAAACTGAAGCGGGAAGACATTTTTATTACAACGAAGGTATGATGTTCATCAAAACATCACTGCCGTTCACAGTGTGTTCTGCAGAATTCAAATGAAACATCTCCGTTCATGCGAGTATATATTTTATTTAGTCTTGTGGTACCCTTCAAAATATATACTGTATTTATGACATTGTGAAAATGACCACCAAACCCTGTGATGATCGCTGATACCACCTCTGTAGGTAAGAGGGTTGGCATCCTGGTGTGATAGAGACATGTGAATGAAGGTGACACATTCGGCGTACCAGAAACCTATGATCGGAATTATTATGATTCTGCATTTTGCCTGTGCTCGTGCGTTTTACAAGGGGGCACGGGTGACCCAGTCGTCTAAGGCGCCGCGATTCGCTGTGCAGAATTGCGTCCCTTGGGCACGCCAGAAACCTATGATTGTTGGTTCGAATCCCGGTTCGCCCCGATTATGTTTCTAGGTTTTGTCAGCACCATGCCCGTGCTCGTTGGTTTCACCGAAGTGGTAAACGTCTGAGGCCAGCATCACTTTGGGCTTTCCTCCCACATTAAATTGACACGCCGTGATATAACTGGAATAGTGTTAAAAGCGGCGTTCAACCTAACTCACTCACTCACTCGTGCGTTTTACATAACTAGTAAACGTCACTTCAGGCTTTCCTCCCACAATATGCTGATACGCTGTCATATAACTGAAATGACGTTTAAAATGGCGGTACACGCAAGTATCTCACTTGTGAGAAACAAGCACTAAAAAACAAGAAGTGTCTTTGGAAAGTGTAGGAATAACGATTTACATTGTATTGCAGCTGTGGGTGACCTACCATGAAACAGACCGAGTCCCTCTGTCCATTGCCCAAAGCCTCAAGAATTTACAGTTGGATTATGTGGACATGTATCTTATTCACATTCCTACAGCGCTTAGAGTAAGTGCTTTGCCACATCCGAAAGAAATGTTTTTAGAGTACTTGCATTTAACCTCATATATCTTGATGTTATTTTGTACATGACTACGTGTTTTTTTAACTACTTGTCTCAATCAACGACTATCACACGATGTAAGCTGTTCACTCTACAGAATTACGTCAATCGTGTTTTAGCTAACCTTCAAGCTTTCTATTCCAAAACTTTGATTTTGTCTGAATTCGGTGTACATGAATCTTATCTTCTTATCTTAATTTCAAATAATCAGTTGAGGTTTACAACAAATTCCGTCGGTATTGTTTCGGTAATTCCAAAATATTTGCCGAACAGGAAACGGGAAAGGGAACTCCTTTACCTGTGGATGAAAACGGGAAAACTGCACTCAATGATGTTCAGCTGGAGGATACATGGAAGGTTAGAAATCAAGTAATTCACACTGTATTTGATTTCTTGGGAAAATGTAGTTAAGTTTTATATGAGATATCAACATTTTTACACCTCATTATGGATGTTAATAAAATAAATGTACAAGCTTTAAAAATATTAACCCGTAATACAATAACGATGACTTCCGGAATACAATTCGACTTCGGCAATGTCGGACAAGTCCATTTTATGAACAAGGTGATAAGTTTTGGTATTTCCTGAATATTCTCACAATTTTCACGTCGATTATCTGCACTTTTTCTTCAAATACCGATTGTAATATATCTCCAACTTTTGGATACGATCGTTCGGCCATATCGTTAATCTCGATGTCCAGCTACATCTGTGGGGAACAACTCACTAAACACATCCCTCTCACAAATAACGTCGTCCAATATACCTCGCGAAATGACGTTATGACAGAACAATCTTATATACATCTAGGGATCAGATCTATGGCTCGTAGCAGATTCTCATTGTTATATGACGTCATGTTTGCAATGATGTTTTTATCCGTGAATTGACAATTAACCACTTCAATTGTTACATGACGTCACGACGCCTTGCTGTGATGACGTCATGTAAGTTTAACGTCTACTACCGATATACACAACGATCAGTCGAAAAATATAGAGCCGGACATAAACAATTCCTGATTCACTCATGGTGTAATAATTTTCAGGGATGACCTACATAGGAAATAGTGAAAATATTGTTTTTGGCATATTACCAGCAAATTCGTATCCAGCTGTCATCAGTTTCGTATGTTGTTCATGCATATTCTATTACTAAATAACTGTCAACCTGTAGACACGCCCCCATGTCAACTATGGTCTGTTACAGGCTATGGAACAAGTGGCTCGTAATGGCCACGCCAAATCTATTGGTGTCTCAAATTTCAATATGGAACAGCTTGAAAGGATATGCAAGATAGCTGATATAAAACCAGCCACAAACCAGGTACAGGGACTCTTTTCAATATTGTTAATTTATGCTGCTGTCTATTTCATATTTTCGTAAATATACATTTTCCCAATTGAGTTTTGGAGGAACCCGTAAATCCTAAGTCAGACGATGGACGGTTGAGGTGTGATGCTTTTGGTAAAGCTTCCTCAAATTTGTTTGTTGTTTAACGCCGCACTCGGCAACATTCCAGCTGTATGACGTTGGTTTAAAATGAATCGAGTCTGGAACAGACAGGCCAGTAATTGATATCATGAGCATCGATCCAGTTGGGATACGATGGCATGCATCAACCAAGTAAGCCAGCATGACCACCAGATCCCGTTAGCCGCCTCTTGCCACCATGGGTGGCTGAAGACCAAGTACGAAATTGCCTCTTTAATGACATTGCTGTTTCAAAAGCTTCACTCACTCACGCAAATGCTGGGCACGGGGGTCCTGACGTCAAAGGCGCCGCAATTTGCTGTCCAAAGTTGTGTTCCTTATGCGTTCCTGCATCCTGTGATCGTGGTTTGAATGCCAGATTCATGTAGGTGACAATGCTTGGTTTGTTAGTACATGTATCATATCTCGGCCTATGGGTCTTACTGAAGTGGCAAACGACTGAGACATATATGCCATATACGGCTTTCCGGGACATTTATGTACGTAATTTCATTATGGTCAGTGCGAGCAATACTCAACTGACCACTAAATAATTATTCAATACATAAAATCATTTATGGGACATCATGGGAAATTATGGGACATTTCACATTTGCAGGTTGAGTGTCATTTGTATCTCCAACAAGAAAAGCTGTTCCAGTTCCTTAAGGAACGGGGGATAACCCTTACTGCCTACAGCCCCTTCGGTTCACCAGCTCGACCAGCCAACTTGTAAGAATCGTTATTGAATAGCACCGGGTAAACCAGCAGGAACTGCTCCTTGGACAAGTGTACTGAGAAGCATCGTTAGATTTTAAATAAATGGCATTAATGTCATTTCCATATTTTGTTTTTGAATGAGTGAGTGAGTGAGTTTGGTTTTACGACACTTTTAGCAATATCACGTCGGGGGACACCAGAAATGGGCTTCACACATTGTAACCATGTCGGGATTCGAACCCGGGTCTTCGGCGTGACGAGCGAACGCTTTAACCACTAGGCTACCCGACCGCCCCGTATTGAAAAGGAACGTACGACATTCATTACATGGTTCTCTTAAAGAAGACACATTATGGATGACAAGTGTCAAACCCTAGGCCCTGCTGTGTATAGAATGTTACGTTTTTATCACATACTTCACTAACCTATCGATCATATTTACTTGTACATTGTGTGTCAACGCTATGTATTCAGCCAGTTGGAAGGAGCACCCAAAGTTCTAGAAGACCCAGTTGCTAAGGATTTGGCTGCAAAGCACCAACGATCTGTAGGCCAGGTACGTTACATTTAGATCGAAATATGTTGGCATATGTTACGTTGTTGTAATATGCACAGCACGAAGGAGGCTAGTTCATTTTTCAATACAACTGTGTTTATTATGCAGATTCACCTACGCTATCTTGTCCAACGAGGTATCATTGTTATACCCAAGAGCAGTAACCCTGGGAGAATTCGGGAAAACTTGCAGGTATGTTTCATGCTATGACTTTTCAAGTATTTGTAGGAATTTCTAATTTCATCTGTCATAGTATCAAGACAATTTTGTTTTCGATAAATTTAATTTGAAAGAAATTATAGTTCAACAATAGTTCAAGTGCCCCTCATCTACATTAACCACAAGTATGTGTCGCAAGGATTTTCGGGAAATAGATATATTCTTTTCTACTTTTCAAAGGTTTTCGACTTCAAACTATCTGATGATGAAATGTCAAAACTTGCAGCACAAGACAGGAAACTGCGGTTATTAACGTTCTTGGAGTAAGTTTAGTTTTGTTCATATCCTGAATAAGATCATACATACTTTGTCGTTGTTCACACACGATCAGTGTAATGGATTTTGGACCAATAACATTCACACTCCAATTCGGACCACCGTGAACGATACTTAGAGTGAGTATCATGTCAAATTTAGTAAAAATCTTCACGACAGGGTTTAGCAGAAATATATTATGCTATACAATTTAAATTATAAGGAGGGTAACTGAACTTGAGCCTTTGCTGTGACGAGCAAACGATTCAACCACAAGGCTACCCCATCGCCTCGTGTGTGCTGTGAAGAATCTAGGAAATGTTATCTGAACAAATACATACCATCTTCTCTCTTGAATACATTGAAGAATTATGTTGGTTGGTTGGTTTGTTGTTTAACGCCGCACTCAGCAATATTCCAGCTATATGACGGCGGTCTGTAAATAATCGAGCCTGGACCAGACAATTCAGGGATTAATATCATTAGCATCGATCTGCCAAATAAGATGCATCAACCAAGTCAGTGAGCCTGACCACCCGATCCCGTTAGTCGCCTCTTACGACAAGCATAGTCACATTTTACGGCAAGCATGGGTTGCTGATACCTATTCTACCCCGGATCTTCAAGGGTGGAAGAATTATGTAACCGTGATTTTTATTTATCATAGAATACTTCATTACAGATTTAAGGGCCACCCAGAATTCCCCTTTGACGAACCACGATGAAAAGGGTATTTGCAACACGGCTGAAGAGAGGTCCTCCATTTGGACACCAAATATGACGACTCTTTTCCTGGCTGGATATTAAACCCTTGTTTGCCTCATTCCTATGTTAATCCCTGTGTTACTCTTTACAGTCACTAACAATGCAGTTCAAGTGTTTTATGTATTAATCAGGGTATAACGAATATTTAAGTGATGAAAATTATTTGAATTTAAACAGAGTTTGAATCTTATAGAAATATTTACTTAACACCTAACAACCATATTTGATCACAATCGCAGAATGTTAATAAAGGCGACATAACAATTTCTGTAATCAGTCCATCGTACGATTCCGTCTTTAGCATTGACATGTTTGCTACGAGGTGTTCCCGAAAAGATGAGCGTATCATGCCCCATCGGTGATACCTGTCATAAACACATGAAAAGGCAAGTCAATTGTTTGCAAACAAAACTCGGGAATATATGGTGTAAGTAAAAAGGGGCAAATGCTTCAGAAATTTTGTCATTGATGCGTAAGTTTTGGAAATGGCCTCTGCACGTTTTGTTTTTTTCAATTTGTTGTGTTGGTTTTATTTTGGTTATTAAATTCATAACCCCTGTACATATTGTATATTCTGTTATAGTCTGTCGCATGTGCACCATGTGTGAGACACAATGCTAATATACAAGAGCCAGTTTCAATGTTAACATCAACATCATACAACCGAGACTGGACCAGACAATCCAGTGATTGATATCATGAGCATCGATCCACGCATTTGGGATAGATGACATGCTCCAACCAAGTCAGCAAGCCTGACCACCCGATCCCGTTAGTCGCCTCTTACGACAAGCATAGGAATTGCATCGGACATCATATTGTCACTGATACGTCAAACTTGGAAATGTCCTCCACATGTCTTCCATAAAACTTTTTGAAAGCTATAATGGGGCCTTGAATGTTGTAATCTTGATCAAACAACTTCTGAGCAAGAGTCGTTTGACGCTCATTAACATCTTGGTAGAAAGAGCATGCTCCACTGTCCATCAAAAGTTGCGAAATGTAAACGCCAAAGGCAGGAGCTGCTGGAATATTGCTCGACATGAAGTGAAAGTTGACTATTGGAAAGTTTACGTAATATCTACAAACTTGCGGTGAGTGTTTTGTCACTCTGAATCTTTAAGCAAATATGAAACAGATACGGCGGACTCACTGGTCTCCTTTATTTCTAGTTCAGGTGGGTAAATCAGTGGATTTCTGCTATTTGATTGTTATTGAACGATGTCAGATCATAGATCTACCAGAAGCTTAAGTTAAACTTTTTGGCTAAATTACCTTGTTTTGACTTTGATAGTCCGAACATAAATTCCGATTCATAGGCATAAAGAAACAGATCCGCAAGAAGGGGAGCACAATTGGTGCCCTACTACTTGCCTAAATGTCTTACCACCAAATTTTACGTAGATGTTATCAATCAAGAAGTCCAGCATTTCACATATTGTTTTCTCAGTAAACTTCAGATTGCATTTACTTTCATTTTTCACAAACTGTCCTGAACCTCTGAATATAGATACGTAACTGTATCTGTGTACACCACGTTTTGTAACAAAAGCCCCCATGGATCAAGGAATAAAGTTTTTCCTTGAGTTTGTCATTTGGGATAGTGGTGTACAAAGTAGAAAAATGAAATGTTTTGGCAGAATGGAACTTGGTTCTTTTCTGGGAATGCAAAAAGTCAAGCAAATTATTTGAGTTTTTGAGAATCCACACGCCATGCCTGTGAGGGTGAAATATTGGCACGGATCTAACCTGTTATAGTTTAGACACATGTCGCGAAATGCTTCGAACACATCGGTCATGATCAAAATGTCTATTGAAACGTATAGTTCCATAAAGTCTCTGACCGATTTACATTGAATGTAACCCAAATTTTATGAGCGAATGCGTAATCTGCTTCGGACACAATTCCCTTTGACATTTGCTTCGTACATTGTTCGCTTTGCAAACTGGTATTAACTAGTTTGAAACAGTCTAGAAAACGAAGATTGTCAGCCTGAAACAAGGAAGTGTTCGGAATTGTGCGGGATACAAGTTACTTTCGGATCGCAAAGGAGTTCGGCAGCTTGTAGAATAAGATGGTTATAGAAACGTGATGCGTTATGACAATTAAAGCTTACAAATTTGGCTTCCTGACTATTGGCATTGCATTCCGGATGAGAAATACCTCTACATTTTCCTGTGAGTTGATCTCGATCGTTTTTTTATTCATTTCATTCTCTTTCTCATTATTACAATCATCATCATCACCATCGTGTTCTATTACTGGTGCCAAAATACATTCGAAATCCGCGTAAATTACAAAAGGAACTCCAACTGTTTTCGAAAATTGTTTCAAACCAAATTTCCTCTTTGCTTAATCGGCTGGATCGATGATCATGATGTCAATCACTGGATTGTCTGGTCCAGACTCGATTATTTACAGACCGCCGTGATATAGCTGGAATATTACTGAGTGCGGCGTTAAACAGCAAACCAACCAACCAACCAAAGCTTAATCGGCTTCGGGCATTTTAATCTTTAGCGCTTAATGATAACAATAAGCTTTGTGAATATCTAAACGAGATTTTAAAGTGTAAGTCAACAAACAGTTTCTGCAGATACATTGCTTCCATGGTCATTACATTGCCTCACTAAAAGCAACCAAGACCCGTGAAGATTCCGGGTTAGAATAGGTCTTCAGAAAACCCATGCATGCCATAAAAGCTGACTATGCTTGTCGTAAAAGGCGACTAACGGGGTCGGCTGGTCAGGCTCGCTGAATTGGTTGATACATGGCATCGATCCCAATTGCGTGGATCGATGGTCATGATGTCAATCACTGGATTGTCTGGTCCAGACTCGATTATTTTACAGATCGCCGTCATATATATATATATATATATATATATATATATATATATATGGAATATTGCTGAGTGCGGCGTTAAACAACAAACAAACAAACAAACATAAAGCAGCCAAACTGGTGATGAGCACGTAATGAGATGGAGACTGTTTGTCGTCATCTTCCACTTCGGAGGTCAATAGGAGAAGATCCACGTGACGTTCAGTCGGTACGTCAGCCACCCTGGAACTTATTCGTAGAGGAAATACTACATTTACTTGTTTTTTTGTCTCATTATCATTATCATCGTCATCCTCAGAGAAACCGAAGACTTTAATGCTTAAATTATTCATTTCTTCAAATTTTGATTTTTTTTTAAAGACATTGGAAATTGAATACCATGAATATTTAAACGATGTGTGTGGTCGACGCAATAATTATTATTATTAATCCACTTGCTCTGCGACCTCATCCGCTCCAACTGGGTAATGATATACCAAAATGGAATAGACAAAACACATGGCACCATTTATATTGCGACTGTTTAATGAATTAGGATTCTTCTCTAAACATGGAGGTAAATATGAATTACCGCCGCGAAACGTTTTGAATTTGACATATACCGATATGGTGTATGTTTACGAGACAATATTAAGATAATTATTATTGTCGGATGGTAAATGGTTAACACAAATTGCACCATTCACTTACGATTTGAAACTTTCTTTCGTTTTCTTCTATAATTCTGAAGTGCTTGATCTGCCATGTTCATTTCAACGTAGAGACTTGATGTGATGAAACGTGATATCTAAATTAATATAGAATACAGTTATTATCCGGGTCTTGATTAAGAGTTGATGTGGTAAAATGTGATATCTAAATTAATATAGAATACAGTTATTATTCGGGTCTTGATTAAGAGTAAAAGTATTATAATATTAAATGTGATATAATAAATGATAAAATACAACTGTATACTTATAATGATAAAAAGGATATTATTTTTCAAATTTCATTTTGTGATACTATATAAGAAAATGTCAATACTCACACCAGTGTGTGGTTACTGCCTTGCTCTGAATAGATCCGTAATAGTGAGTGAGTGAGTGAGTTGGGTTTAACGCAGCTTTTAACAGTATTCCAGTTATATCGCGGCGTGTCAGCTTAATGTTGGAGGAAAGTCCAAAGTGATACAGGTCTCAGACGTTTACCACTTCGGTGAAACCCACGAGCACGGGTATGGTGCTGACAAAACCTTGAAACATAATCGGGGCGAACCCACAATCAAAGGTGTCTGGCGTGCCCAAGGGACGCAACTCTGCACAGCCAATCGCGGCGCCTTAGACGACTGGGCCCCCCGTGCCCCCAGATCCGGAATAGAGAAAAGTTGACGTATCTTCTCAGAATGATGTCTCGTGGTGTATACGTGTAGTAAATGACGACATTGAAAGGGCGTTGACCACACATTTATTTGGGAAGTAATCAATTACGATTCCGTGCAAAGGTCTAGTCTTCTGTATGATGCCAAGCCTCAACGTGATGATCACTTAACCCTGTGTACCAGTGAATATAATTATGTATTATTGCAGAGTCATTGCCCCGCTGTTTACACTCTGTTTATGCTGTAAAGCGACCCATATGCTACAGTAAATCACGAGTTGTATGTCTTTGAAATTAGCAATCATTCTGCATGCTAGGATTCTGTACTGCATAAAATATATGTTATTAGTTTAATTAATAGTTTCTAGTTTCTAAAAAGAATAATTACTTTAGTTAGGAAACGGTAATTTAAGTAAAAAAAGTATGTTTTTTTGTATGTGTGTCAGTTCAAGAAACGCGTAGAAAAAAAGTAAATGGCTTCATCTGGTGTATCTTATGTTGGATTCATCCGGCATTTTCAAATTTGACGCATTAGTGACCAACTAAAATTATGTTCGATGCAATGCCCTATTTTGACTTACACCATATGTTCCCGTGATTAATGTTTTGGGTTAAACCTATTGGTGCCATAGGTTTTTCAGGATACGCTCTTTTTTTGCGAACACTTGGTATCATTACCAGTTGGAAGTGATTCATACACACGTCCTTATACACAAGTCGAAATATGTTTTGAGGAGAAATAAAAGTGATTATTAAAATACTGTTTGTTAATGTTTCAATTCGTCTTAAGATCATCACAAACACACAACGGACCCCAAAATGTGTATTATCATGTTCCCCCTAGTACCAGCAAGGTCTATTGCCGACTTGAAGTTCTCCACGTGAATGTAGGAATGCCGGGGTGCGCCTTCCTCGTAGTCTTCGGGTGCGCGCCCATCACCATGGGAATGTCATCATGATTGAAAGGGGCGGTCGGGTAGCCCAGTGGTTAAAGCATTCGCTCGTCAAGCAGAGGCCCGGGTTCGATTCCCGACATGGGTACAATGTGTGAAGCCCATTTCTGGTGTGCCCCGCCGTAATATTGCTAAAAGCGGCGTAAAACCATACTCACTCACTCATGATTGAAAATAGAGAAGAGCAGATTGCTTTTTATTTATGTTCAACATCCCACGTGATTTCACTGATGATAGCAAGAGGCAGTTGATATATGCATGGCTAAAATAGCAACAACAAATGCGAAACAAGAAACTGTCAAATGTTTAAAGGCGCGTGTTTTTGTTTGATGATTTGATGAGTTTTTAAATGTTATCAGCTTAATGTATGTGAAACACATGACCATATGTGTCGAGCTGACGAATCACGAATCCTAATCGATCCGTGAAGATTCCGGGGTAGAATAGGTCTTCAGCAACCCATGCTTGCCGTAAAAGGTGACTATGCTTGTCGTAAAAGGCGACTGAGCGGATCGGGTGGTCAGGCTCGCTGACTTGGTTGATACATGTCATCTTATCCCAATTGCGTGGATCGATGCTCATGATGTCAATCACTGTATTGTCTGGTCCAGACCCGATTATTTACAGACCGCCGTTATATAGCTGGAATATTGCTGAGTGCGGCGTTAAACAACAAACCAACCAACGAGTCCTAATCATAGAGTACCTTCATACAAATCAGCGATTGTCATATTACTGCACGCATGTTTGCACAGCGAATTCTAGCGCTTTAAAAGTGAAAGATGTGATGAGTTGACCATTCTGAAAGTCCAAACAAACCACATCAATACAATGTAAAAACTTAAGGCATTAACAAAACCAAAATAAGTCACAAACACGTGTGTCTACATTTCATTTATAGAAAGGGGAGAGTAACCAGTATGTAAAGGTTAGTGATAAGATAAAACGGGACTTTATTTTATCAAGGGAAGTTCATATTGCGCAGTTGATTAGCACTGAAATATGAAATAAAACGAAAAATATATGATATTAAAATATGTACATAAGAGAATAAGACACTAACTCATACAATCACAGGTAAAAGCATGAAGACAATTGAAAATATCACACACACACGCACACACACATACACACACACACACACACACACACACACATAAATATATAGGTTATATGATTATTTAGAACGAATATACGGATGGAAGAGCTGTTTACATGATATATATCCCTTTCTGATATAAGCAAATCCCAAAGAAAAACAATGTATGATACACTGTGATACATTATTATATTATGTGTTTTAACTTTAATGAGAGACTTCGGTAAATAATATCAGAATAAGAACCTACATCGTTGTATATACTTGTACACACTATATTGAAATAGAAATCATACCTCTTGTCTGTCATACAGCTTGGTACAGAGGGAAATGTTTGAGAAACTGAAGAGTCGTGGTGACGCCACGATTACATGCACGCGTTAATGAATGAAGAGTGATGGTTCAAAAGTTAATAGCAAATGTTTCATGATAAAAAAACATCACAATATAAGTGAATTGAAGAAGCATTCCGCATTAGAATATGCTTACAAGGAAACATGTTGCAAAGCAATGCAGACCTTATACGTGAAAGTAAATCATATACCGATGTGCTTTACAAGGTATATTAGTATTATACCACCATATAGTAGTAGTTGTAGTGGTAGCGGTAGTGGTAGTAGCAGTGGTAGTGGTAGTAGTTTTGGTATTAGTAGTAGAAGAGGAAGTAGCAGTGGTAGTAACAGTGGTGGTGTTGGTAGTACTAGTAGTAGTGGTAGTAGTGGTAGTGGTAGTAGCAGTGGTAGTGGTAGTAGTAGTAGAAGAGGAAGAAGTCGTGGTAGTAGCAGTGGTGGTGGTGGTAGTACTAGCTGTAGTGGTATTTGAGTAGTAGTGGAGGTGGTAGTAGTAGTGGTAGTGGTAGTAGTAGTTTTAGTAGTAGTAGTAGTAGTAGTAGTGAGTGAGTGAGTTGGATTTAACGCCGCTTTTAACAGTATTACAGTTATATCACGGCGTGTCAGCTTAATGTGGGAGGAAAGCCCGAAGTGATGCAGGTCTCAGACGTTTACCACTTCGGTGAAACCCACGAGCACGGGTATGGTGCTGACAAACCTAGAAACATAATCGGGGCGAACCGGGATTCGAACCCACAATCATAGGTTTCTGGCGTGCCCAAGGGACGCAACTCTGCACAGTGAATCGCGGCGCCTTAGACGACTGGGCCACCCGTGCCCCCAGTAGTAGTAGTAGAGGAGGTAGTAGTGGTAGTAGTAGTGGTGGTGGTGGTAGTGGTGGTGGTGATAGTAGTAGTAGTAGTATTAGTAGTAGTAGTAGTAGTAGTGGTCCAGCTATATGACGGCGATCTGTAATTAGTCGAGTCTGGACCAGACAATCAGTGATTGACAGTGAAACCATCGATCTGCCCAATTGGGAGAGATACATGCATCAACCAAGTCAGCAAGCCTGACCACCCGATCCCGTTAGTCGCCACTTACCTCAAGTATGGGTTGTTGAAGATAATGTCTAACCCGGATCTCCTCAGGTATGTAGAAGAAGTAGTTAATGGTAGTTGTGATGATGGTCCTGTTACTGCTGCTGTCGATGGTGTTGTTGTTGGTGGTGGTAGTAGTAGTATATATTGATCTTATTTTAAATAGCGTTTTATCACAAATACAGTGTCAAAGTTTCATAAAATATTCTTTACAACAATCCATGCTTGCCGTGAAAGGCAACTATGCTTGTCGTAAGAGGCGACAAACGTGATCGGGTGGTCAGGCTCGCTGACTTGGTTGATGCTTGTCATCGTATCCCATATGCGTGGTTCGATGTTCATGATGGCAGTCACTGGATTGTCTGGTCCAGACTCGATTATTTACTTACAACCATCATAAAGTTGAAATATTGCTGAGTGTGGCGTTAAACACAAACAAAACAAACAAACGAAACATAAAATGTTCAGCATATTCAGTTTTTAAGGGTTTGACAAAAAATGCTTGCCCTATCTTGCTAGTATCCACTATATCAATATTGAACAAGGCAACTGATTGATCAAACATTGAAAACACAAGTCACTATTACTTTGTCATGTCCGGCCTTATCTGGGTGAGGCCACAGCCATGGAATGTTTGAGAACTGGCCCCCTAACAACATGACTCCGCACACTTTGCAGGCCACCTGACCACAAGGGAGGTCGGGCACCTGTACCTGCAAACTCATGCACTACGATTCGTAAAATGGCTGCATCGAAAACATCACAACATAAGTGAATTGAAGAAGCATTCCGCGTTTAAATATACTTATAAGAAAACGTTAGTGTTATTATACCTCAAAAGTACAAATATATCGATATGCTTTCCTAGGTTTATTAATATGGTACCATTTATTATTATTATTAGTTGTAGTAGTGGTAGTAGTAGTAATAGTAGTAGTAGTAGTACGGTAAACTACGCTTATAACGAACTGACGGATATAACGAATTTACTTTTTTGGCCCCGACTATTTGCTGTAGTTATGCTGTATATATGTATAACTACGGTTATAACGAACTAAAATTAGCAGTCCCTTTGAGTTTGTTATAACCGTAGTATACTGTAGTAGTAGTAGTAGTAATAGTATATATATATATATATATATATATATATATATATATATATATATATATATATATATATATATTAGTATATATATATATGGTGTTTTATACGTGTGAAGCCCATTTCTGGTGTCCCCCGCCGTGATATTGCTGGAATATTGCTAAAAGCGGCTTAAAACCATACTCACTCACTCACTATCACAAGTACAAGGTCCAAGTAATGTTTATACACGATATCACTATTGAGAACGCAACCGTTTGTTCAAACATGATCATGTTCACACTAATCTGGTTGAGGTGTACTGTCACTGCAGAGCCATGGGATGTTGGCAGGGATTACTCAATAGCATGACTCCGCACATTTCGCATGTATATAAGAATGGCGGGCCGCCTGAATGTTAGCGAGGTCGGCGAGCTGTACCTGTAAACTCTAAGAATCGTAAAATGGCTGCACAATCTCTGACATTGAACAATGGTCAAAAGATGCCCCTGGTGGGAATTGGCTCGTGGCAGGTATGTCTTGTTTGTCTCTGTTGACCCACACATGCATATTTAATACCTGGTGAATATCTACTTAATGTCCAGGCGATCTTTTCCCCGGGATATCTAAGTAAAACATGCTCCGTCGATGTATTTTCGGCGATGTACGAAGGCATATGTGCAAAGCCAAATATTGATTGTACATATACGGCAGGAGAGTGTGTCACAGTGGCATACGCAACATATTGCAGGCGTATAGATCAAAAGAGTTGTTTAATACATAAATCATGTTCATTCACTCTTCTGATACAAAGATCGCGATCGTGAAAGGATTGATCAACAATGGTACTGAAATCTATTTATAAGGTGGGTGGGTGGAATGGGGCTAACGTCGTGTGTGTGTGTGTGTGTGTGTGTGTGTGTGTGTGTGTGTGTGTGTGTGTGTGTGTGTGTGTGTGTGTGTCAGTGTGACACCGTGTTGCAGTTTCACATGACTACCCCATTCAGACTCCGTATACTGACTCCGAGCCGACCAATCCTTGTTTTAGCCCCTTAATGCCGAGCGCCAGGCAGGGTAACAACAAATACCATCTTTTAACGTCTTTTGGTACGACGAGGCCGGGGACCGGATCCCCGATCTTCCGCTCTCCGGACCCATTTGTAAGATGTGTGCAGGAATGCAACTTATTACCGCTTCAGCTTCACTGAAAGATCTCCTGAGTATTCAAACCTGCACTCATGACGTGTGAGTACCGCAAAACACATATACCCTCATCATATTATTACAAGGTGACACACAGAGGCAAACTAAATTGTGAGTGAGTATGGTTTTACGCCGCTTTTAGCAATATTCCAGCAATATCACGGCGGGGGACACCTGAAATGGGCTTCACACATTGTACCCATGTCGAGAATCGAACCCGGGTCTTCCGCGTGACGAGCGAACGCTTTAACCACTAGGCTACCCGACCGACCACTAAACTGTGAAATCAGTAACTGACTACACAAGATGAGTGTAAAATGAATAAATTATATTTGAACACACAGTTTAAGGTTCACGAAAAAGTGAGTGAGTGAGTTAGTTGGGTTTAACGCCGCTTTTAACAGTATTCCAGTTATATCACGGCGTGTCAGCTTAATGTGGGAGGAAAGCCCGAAGTGATGCAGGTCTCAGACGTTTACCACTTCGGTAAACCAACGAGCACAGGTATGGTGCTGACAAACCTAGAAACATAATCGAGGCGAAACGGGATTCGAACCCACAATCAGAGGTTTCTGGCGTGCCCAAGGGTCGCAACTCTGCACAGTGAATCGCGGCGCCTTAGACGACTGGGCCACCCGTGTCCCCTTCACGAAAAAGGGCAATACAATGTGTCAAATAAGTGACAGCAGCAATACGCAACATGGAATCCAGAATAGTGAAGGAAGCTGTTTCCAAATGGGTATCTCAATAATGCACTTGGCAAGTATTTTATTAAGTTAACAATAACTCGAATTGCATTCTTGTTGCTCTTATAAAGGTATAGTCAGCCTTTTAGAAACTGACCCCCCAGAAACGTCGAGAACAGTCAACGCATTCGTCACCACTCGCCCCTTTCCGTAACCTGCAAGAAGGCTATTCGGCTTGTCCCGGAATTGGTAACGAATGCAGTCAAGGCTGTCGTGTTCAAGGTCAGATAACTCTAGTTTTAGTATAAAGGCTCCCATCGACTGGTGTTCAATCTGGCTGTGACATTACTTGAAATATTTTTTTCACAAGTTCCATCATTTTCTGCCAAAGGGAAATACAACAATACAAAGTTTTACCGCCACTAAAAGTACTACCACATAACAATATGTGCACGTCTACACTCATTGTAAATGTGTGCTCGGTGGTGCATGGTCTTAATTGCATAATAAGACCCTTTCATCTCGAGTTCGAATCCACGATTCTCCCATGCTGCATTTAAAATCGGAGTCCTGCATCACATTAACCCTACACGCCTGCAACACTTTTCAAATCGGCATTGTACCAACTCATTCTGTGCGTGTACATGTGCGTATTCATGCCATATTCAAGGACTGACTGGAATAAAGTGAAATATTTGAAATGTATCCACGCACTCGTCAGATCAAGGGTAACATAAACATATGAAACTAAATTTGTTCATATTAACTTCAAAACCCATTTTGCAAACATTCGTGAAAGGTGAATTATTTTACATTTTATTCCACCTCGAACACACGCAGAGCTGGTTTAATACAGTTTTAAACTTTATTGTTTCGCTTTAATTTCTTACAGGTTAACTCTGCAGATGAGTGCAAGGACACTATTCGTGCCGCATTGGACGCTGGCTACAGACACATTGACACTGCCTATGCATACCAGAACGAGGCCTTCATTGGGGAGGTGCTCCAGGAGTACTTCAAGGCCGGGAAACTGAAGCGGGAAGACATTTTTATTACAACGAAGGTATGATGTTCATGAAAACATCAATGCTGTTCACAGTGTGTTCTGCAGAATCTTGTGTTTTCTTTTTAATATATTTTCGTTCATACATTGTCATATTCTTGGGGACACGGGTGGCTCAGTCGTCTAAGGCGCCGCGATTCGCTGTGCAGAGTTGCGTCCCTTGGGCACGCCAGAAACCTATGATTGTGGGGTCGAATCCCGGTTCGCCCCGATTATGTTTCTAGGTTTGTCAGCACCAATATCCGTACTCTTGGGTTTTACCGAAGTGGTAAACGTCTGAGACCTGCATAACTTCGGTCTTTCTCCCAAATTAAGCTGACAAGCCGTGACTAAATGGAATACTGTTAAAAGCGGCGTTAAACCCAACTCACTCACTCATATTCTGCCTCAACAAGAAAAAAGTTGAGACATTTTATTACATTTCTAAGCATGTAATGCTGTGTTTATTGGTTAAAATAGATACTAGTACTAGAATATGAGATGGGGATAGTAGAGTCACCTCAGGCGAGCCTGAAACCCGTGATCGCCAAATCTCATTAAAATCAGATCTCAGTTCTGGCTGCCGCTAAACAAAGATCAGAGGACATCGCATTACGGGTCACGTCAGAACGACCTTTCCCGAACTTTGGCCGACCACTGAAACGAATAAAAGGAACGCGATATTAGCCAATGAGAAAGGAGCTATTTCGAGCTTTACGGCACTCGTTTCAACCTGGCGACTTCCATTTCAGACTACGCTTGAAAAATATGTTGACACAGTTCTCGACTACAATTTTGAAAACTGAACAAACGAAAATTCCGGAATGTCTAATATATGGTTGCGATTGTTTTGCAGTGCTTCCCGCGTTCTGTGCAAAGCCTTCTCCGTTCAAATGTTTATCCCACAAAAGCGATAGACAGATAATAATTTTGACGGAATCAGTCGTACGGGCCGTAGCTGTCGTTCGGAATTCCCCGTTTTAACGTTTTCGAGGTTGCATGATTAGAAAACACATTCCGACTGTCACTTTCTTGATCTGGCAAGCGACGCTTTGATTGGTCGGATGAAAGGTCGTTAGTAGTTGAGGACAGCGGTCTAGGACCCCTCAGATTTCTGGGACCAAGATGGCGGCATATCCGTTTCCGGTCACGTGCCCTGCGCAGTGCATGATGGGTACCTGCGCGCGCATGCAAGATGGCGTCACTTCCGTTTCCGGTGGCGCGCGCCTGCAAGATGGCGTCGCATCCGTGTCCGGTGGCGTGCGCATGCAAGATGGCGTCGCTTCCGTGTCCGGGGAGGAGGGAAAAACCCGGAGAAGCGCACGTACAAGGTGAACAGGATCGACATTGAAAGAAGCGCGTCAAAAATCTTTTGTGGTTGTTGTTGTTCTACACATAGACGTGGGGTGGTGGTGGTGAAGGGTGGGAGGGAGGGAGGTAGGGGAGGGAGGGAGGGGAGGGGAGAAGGAGGAGGCGTTCACGGTGTGGTGGGGGTTGGAGGGTCGTCAAAGCAAAGGAGGAAAAGCTGTCTTTCGGGAGAGATGGGTGGCCCTGAAAAGGGCCGTTGGAAAACAAACTGGAAACTGGAAACGACAGGAAACGTCAGGAAACGACAGGAACACTGGAACACTGGAACACTGGAAAAACTGCAAACGATGGGAAACTGGTAAAAACAGTGGGGGCAGCATGACCCATGCGTTAGTCACTTTGTACAGATGATCTCTCTTCTTCATCCTCTACTTCCATCTCATCCTCGGACGGAAGGTGTCGTCGGCGCTTTGAAGCGTGTTTTCTTGAGGGGCTTCTGTTCCGTTTTCTTTTCTCTAGACGAGGTGTGATGCCTGCACGGAGTTGTGCGAGGCATTCTTTTAGGTCGAGGACATCGGCATGCATGTCTTCGATGAGATGAAGCACTTGTGCCACGGGTGTCACGGGTGTCACGGGTGCCACGGGTGCCACGGATGCCACGGGTGTCGACGTGGACGGTGTTGCTAACGTTTTCTTTCGACTGGGTTCTGGGCAATCTGCAGCGAAATGACCCAGGGCTCGACAGTTGTAACAGGGGCGCTGGGGAGTCTTCTTTCGACTGGGTTCTGGGCAATCTGCAGCGAAATGACCCATGGCTTCACAGTTGTAACAGGGGCCCAGGTTCTGCTTCTCCTGCTTCTCTTGACTGTTCATCTTCGGGCAGACATAGTGACGGTGACCTTGATCGTGACACTCGAGGCATGTCACTTCAGGGCAGTACAGGTAACTGTGATTGTCGGTCTGGCACTTCATACAACTGTATCGAGCTGGCATGATGGGTTTCATAGAATGCAGTGTGTGTGAGTGGCTTCGCTCTTGTTTTGTTTTTATAGCAAAGGCACTGACACCCTGCTTCCTGATTGGTTCCGATTGGTCCGATTTCGATCCGGTTTTTATCGGGGTGTGCATTTCGATCCTGTTTTGTTTTTTCTTCATCCTACAGACAACATAACACGACTTCAACTTTTTTTAAACAAATTTAATCCCCCTGATCACATGAACCAACACCACAAAACAAAAGTCACAGGATGAGGGGGGACATCCCTGTGATTTTGTGAACACGAAGGGGTGACCACGAGGGTAGGAACGTCTGGCCACTTTGAAAAAATAAAGAAACTTTGTCACTTGGGGTGAACAAGACACTCGACTCTTCGTTTCCGTGCTTCTTGGGACACCAAACGTCTGTATTTTTCGTTCACTTCTCCATCAGGACAAAACACGCACAAGTATTCGCAGGGGACTTTGGCGTGCTTCAGATGTTCTTTCCAGGGTTGGTCTGTGGCTTCCCATTGGCGGAATGCCACACCGCAGCAATAACAGGTCACACAGTCACCTCGTCCTGGATAGAAATAGCCAGCCATGGCCATGTCATAAGGGGTCTGGGTCATCTGTTGAGGCCACGTTTGAAAAGACCTCAGGCGTTCTTGAAATGAATCATAGTGGGGGTGAGAAGGATGACACAAGGTGTAAGAAGGAAAAGGTCCCTCCAGAATGTCACGGAGTCGCCATGTGTCGTCCATCAAGAGTGTGTCGTCCATCAAGAGTGGACGTTTTCTCGCTTCTTGTTCTCTCGCCTTTTCAGACACCCACTCGGAATCGGTGACGACATCTCGGGAGGATGACATGGCATTCATAGAACGTCTTTGCTCCATGATGACGGTGACTTCACTGAAAGAAGGTCTGAGGGTTCGCCTGCTTTTATGAAACTGTACACCCTACTCCCTTCAACGGAAGGTCATGACCTTAGCTTCCACCTCCTCCACCTCATGACGTGATGTCATCCTGTGTTTGGGTTGACGGACACACGGCATGATCCATGACATGATCCATGACATGACATGGCACACGGGGAGGGGTGTGGGGATGGATGCGCCCTGGAATGACTGGCACCAGGCAGCTGATCTTTCAAGCATGGCCTTTCTCTTTTTATTTTAATTTTACACTTTGGTGTGCACTGACATGACAGAGGCACAGACAGACAGACAGACAGACGGACAGACGACGTCAACGACATCTCAACTCAACCTCTACCCTCGGTTCGGCACTCTATCGGAGTTGAGATCAATCAAGACACAAAGAGTCAGTTCAATCAATCACTGTTTAATCATGAAAAAACCCAATCACAACCCGATACAATGGAAATACGAAAAGTCAATGGAGGAGGGAGTGCTTTGCATGTCCCTACAACAACCACAACAACAACAACAATAACGCGACAACGTTTTCCTCTTCCATCTTCAAGCTCTTCCATCTTCAAGCCCATAAGAGGTGGTCCTCCCTCAAACCTGTGAGAGGTCCATCCGTTCAACACGTACAGTCTATGGCCTCCCTGAAACACACATGACACATCACTTGATCACGGTTGCAGCTGACGTGTTGACAAAGTTCTTCGAGTGAAGAGGAGGATCACCATAAGATGTGATCCTCAGATGCGATAGGCATGTCATCATACTTGTCATAGGTCAACATACAAGTACAGTCTATGAGCTCCATACCACGGACATGACACATCACTTGCCCGCTGTTGCAACTGATGTATCTTAACATGTTGTTGTGTCAGCAAACACGACATTCGCGTTGTAGGGGAGTGAGTTGAGCTTCTCCATAAGGATCCGGGTCAACGTTGTCATGATCATCATCGTCGCAAACCGTGGGCGTACCTGAGGAGTAGACATGAACCTCTTCCGGGGATGCTGGTGACCAAGAAGCCTCGAGCAGGGGGAGCGTGTCCAGATCCATGGAAGGGAGAGTGGCCAGCTTGAGCGCTTCATGATCATCGAGGTCACCCGTCGCCATCGTCACAGGGGCATTCGGTGAATAGGTGGGCTCCCGAGGGGTTTGTTCCCACCACTGTTCTAGCACGGACTGGGCTGAACTGACATCAGGGGTCCTGTCAATCATAGGACAGAGTCCATTCATCATCATCATATGCATAGGCATAGTCATCATCAACATCGGCATCATCATCATCATCATCAACATCAACATCACATCAAGAATGACTGAGACAAAGAAGAGCAAGGTACTTACAGTTGTTCTTGAGGAGAGATCTTCAGAGATAATTTCTTCCGTGATCGTCTTTTTGCAGGCGTTGCAGGTGTGGCAGGTTTCAAAAAGGATGTCCCCATCGTTTCGATGCCTGTTGTCGCTGCAGCAATGGTTGCTGTGGCTGCTGTGGTGGTGGGGGTGGGTGTTGCCACTGCTGTGGGGGTCACCACGGCTGTGGGTTTGCTCGTCTTTTTCTTCTGGATCTTCTTTATCGTCTTCTTCGATGTGCCTTTCTCGGGTTCAGTCAGCTTCCTCATCTTTGAATGTATCTGTTCGCACATCAGGTTGTCGCCCTTCGCACGTAACTTGGCGTACGCGTCGTCGGTCTTCATCTTTAAACACAGCAAGTCGTACACTTCACCCCACAGTTCAGCAGTCATGTTCCCGTTCCCATCTCCACTGCTTCCTTGACCACTCATGTCGTTTCGTGTCTTGTCATTCAACCGTTTCGACATGATGTTGTCCGGATGTTCTGTTCGTCGTTGTTGTTGTTGTTGTTGTTTCTTTCCAAGTCTTCACGGAGGTGTGCCAACACTTGATGGTACTCTCTCCAAACACGTGTTTCTTCCAGATAAAACGCCAACAACCAACACAACGTAAGGAACATCAATCAGAGGGACGATGTTGTTGCTTGGTCCGTTCAGTGAAAAGTGATGACCGGAGAGCATCGGTCGTATTAAAAGCCCTCGAGGTCCTGCTTTCTGATTGGTCCATTCCGGTGTCTGACTTTCACCTTGGTTTTCCAAACTGGACCGACCCTTGTGTTTCTTTTCCATAGGGTTAGGCTTGTGGCGTGAGAGAGAAAGCACAACCTCGGTTCGACCAATCAGAGGCCACCCTGGCACGAACACGGCCTCTGATTGGTCAACAACCCAGGCTTCGGATTGGTCAGATTTCGATCCGTTTTTTTTCTGTAGGGGTCCACGTCGATTCAGTTTCGATCCGCTGTCATTAAAACATTTATAGAAAGTCGTCTCTGTACCCAAAGGGGAGCGTGTCTACAGGTAGCCCTGTGATGTCGTCGTAGACGAGACGTCGCTTGTCGTACACGGTACGATAGTCTTTTCGGGTGGGTCGGGTCACGAGTGCATTTTCGTGCCGAGGTCCTTTTCGAATGATCTGATGAGGGTAATCCAAACTGATTTTCTCCTCCTCTTTCCCAGGTCGTTGCCCCAGTATCAGTCCTTTCATGGTGTCAAAGTTGAGATGGCGTTGGTTTCGGTAATTCAAAGTGAACCCTCGCACTTTGCAGGTCGTGCGCGTTCCATCGGGTCTGGGGTTCATTAACTCGTAGCTATAGTTTTTGGGACCTCCCGACACAAACGTCTTGATGGTGTTTCCGTCCAGTTCATCCGTAAATTCACCCAACGAATGGCCCAGCTCTGGATTCGCGTCGTGGGGTCGATGAATGTAAATGACGCTGTCCGTGTCAAAATACAAGACCCTGCGGCCCACCAGGGCAAGGGTCTCGTACAGCTTGAGACGTGCTTGGGCGGTGACCCAAGCGGCGATGGCGACGTTGAAATGAGAATGAGGGGTTTGGTATTCTTTCTGATGGGTATAGGTCACTTCCACCATGTGTTCGTTGACAACGGTCACATCCTCGATGGTATTGCGTTCATCCCTCCACAAAGCAAAGTACTGTACAGGATCGTTCATATACACGTTCTGACTGTAGTCTACCCGTTGTCCAAACTTGCCCCAGAGCGAATTCAGTTGCATCTTGGCAATCGTGCGAAGTCCTGGATTTTTTTCGATGCAATCCTTGTCCAACCCAATGCCTTCTTTGTCGTAGATCTCCTGGATGTAAGCGTCGTGATCCGTACATCCTTCGGGGTATCCGCTGGCTTCGAGCTTCTCCTTGAAATGTCGATCGATGTAAGTGTCAAAGAGTCCCACTTGCTTGGTGTCGGGGTCATGCTGTGCAAAGGTGTCAAAATGCCAAACGTCGTAGATCTGAAGCACCCGGTAGTCATACTTCTTCACGGCTTCCTGGAGTTCTACGGTGGCGTACGTCCCCACCCATGACCTCTCTTCGTCCGTGTGTTCGCAGGGGGAGTCTGACCGGGTATCGGCACACGTACGGCACAAAGGACAGAGCAGTTTGCCACCCGATCTGTAAGGCAGTAGCGGATGGTAGAGGCGTTTCGGGGGTAGGACACGGCATTGGATCAGGCCTTTCAGTTCAAACAACGTGTCCACAGGGGGTTGATGGAGAAGGGTCGGGTGTCCCGTGGGAAACGCTCCGGTCTTACAAATGTAAGGATAAAGGGGACAAATATCGATGTACTTGATGGTTTCACCTTCTTGGGCTTCGTAGCATAATCGCGTCGCATTGGTGCGTCCTCCATAGAAGGCGTCGCGAGGGTTGAGCGGTCCGGGGACGTGGATAAAGCGGGGTCCCTGCAAGAAAGCACGCAGAGCGGAGTCCTCCCGTTGCATTTTCGTAAACTCGTGCTCCCACAGGGTGACGATTCGTTTCACCTCAGGGTGTTGACTCAAGAGACTCAAGCGGTAGTGGGTGTCGGTGTAACGGGCTCCCAACGACGAGCCCAGGACGGGATGCGGTTCTCCACGTTGGGTCTTGTGACAGACCTGACACCCATGCCAGAAACAGCCCAGGAATTCGTAGACGGTGCCTGTCGCTGGATCGTAGCCATCCACGGTGTACCGATGGTGACCCTCTCCACACGTGAACTCTTTTTCACCTCCATTCCTGGCGTGCTGGAGGTGCAGATGGGGGTCCGTTTCCATCAGATAGTGGAGCCAGTGCAGACAGGCCTGGGAATAGTTTCTCTTGGGTTGGTAGCCTTGAGGTGGAAGAATGGCTATGGTATTGGGTTTCAGGTCGTGTTTTCGAAAGGATTTCATGGTGAACGCTGCAGCTGTCATCACTTCCACAAAGGGATCCATGCCCACCGAGTGGATGGCGTTCTGTCGGAAGTCGGCGCATCCCCGTCTCAAAATGTCCACATCGCTCTGGCAGTAGGCTAAAAGTTCTCCTTGTAAGTCGAACAAGGCTCCTTCTTGCACTTTTTGAGTATGCCACTGGAGGAAGACTGTGCGTTCCGCGGGAGACATGCCATCGGGATCGTACGTGACGGCTGGTGGATAGGGACCTCTGTAGGTCTGGTTGACTCCCGTATTGAAAAAATGTGGAAAGTACCCTTTCTTCATTTCTTTCAGCCCAAAGCTCTTGGGAAAGGCTTTCAGGGGGTAAGGGATGAAATTTAAGCTGTCTTCGAAACACAACCGTCCCAGGGTCATCTGCAAAATTTGTTGGCCATGTCGAATCTTGGTGGGGAGTGTCACCAGGAGGGGGGACAGACCCTTCAGGACTAAGTGTAAATCATAGGATCGTGCATTATGGGCCATCACATAAATGCGATCCTCCTTCGGGACTGTATGGCAGGGGGTGTTCTTGTTCTTTGGATTCTTTGTTTTCTCCACTTCCATGGCCTCTTCCCCCTCTTCCCCCTCCTCCGCCTCCTGCTGGGGTGATGCATGTCGTTGACGTTTGGTAGCGTACTTTCTTGAGGGGGTGCCATCCCGTTTTCTTTTTTGTTGTTGTTGTCTTTGTGTTGTCCCCTTGCGTGTGCTGCCCTCCTCTTCCTCTGGGTGGGGCTTCTTCTTGGGTTTTTCAGCCAACGTGGTCAACCACACACACACATCATGTCGCGTGGTGGGGCCTCGAAACACGATCTCACGGCTGGGACCATACCCTTCTTCTCTCCATGGACAGTGTTCGCACAAGTTCTTGCTCACTTCACCGATGCATCGTCCACATCCTAGTTGCACCACGCACAAATTTGGAATGTGTTCCCCCGTGTCTTGCATGCATTCGAAATCGTAGAAGACGTATTGGACATTGTCTCGTAGGGGATGTTGTTCCTCTTCCCCCTCCTCCTTCTCCGCTTCCTCTCCCTCCCCCTCCTCCCCCTCCTCGTTTTCTTCACGGAGAGGCATCATGTAACAGCGATGATCTGGGGTCATGGGTTCTCGGCACACCAAGCAGGGATGTTCTTCGTCGAAGCACTCGTGGTGAACCATGGGGGTCTCCAAGACGCGGACCAGCTGAAAGCAGTTCGGGCACCTGTGAAGCGATTGACAGGCGCTGGGTTTTCCCTCTGACGGTGACTGGAGATGCCGGGTGTAACACGGTGGATTGGGGAACCAACCTTGACATGTCAAGCAAGGGATCCCGTGCTCTTCCTGGGGTCCGCAATAGTTAGAGTGGAGGCAGCGGTGACAGCGGTATTCCTTGGTGCAGGGATGGGTTTCGGGATGATCGTAACGTTGGTTGCAGCGTTCGCAGTAATGGTTAGCGCCATAAAAAGCGGACATGGAAGTGATGACATCGTAGTGCTGATCATGATGGTAGACATACAGGACCGTGGCGTGGGGTGGAGCCTCATCACACTTGTACAACAGTCTCTGGTCCACCTCTTGACTGTAGACTTTCAGTTGTTAATTCAGGCGGGTCAAGGCCCGTCCCACGCGTACGAGGTCGTCCAGCCCCCGACAGGGACCTTCGGGCAGGCCAAGGCGTCGAAACAAGGCCCGTGCCCGTATGCCTTGAACGTCGACGCGATCCGTTCTCGTCAGTCTCTTTCGCTGGGCGCTCCATGCTGGGGTCAGAGGGTGAGGCTTGTGGGCATAATGCTGTGCCACCACCAGGGCCCGTGCCAAACAGGATTGATCTTGGTTGTTAATCCGTACGAGGCACTTTTTGCGTGTTAAAAAAGCTTCGAGTCCAATCACGTTTTTCAGTCGGAGATGGCCACTGCCCGATCCTAGCCTGTCGGGATCTGCGACGTGTACTAAGGTCACATCCATGGTGGCATCGATGTTCAGGTCTTTGTTGGACTGTTGGACTTTTTCCACGGCTTGCAAAATATCTAGCCCATGGAGATCTTCAAAACGTCGAAAGGGAATTCGTATGGGGGTGTTCAAAGCGGGATGATCGATACCTAGACCAATACGATCTCCCTTCTGACCTGACATCTGTTCATAAAAGTCATCGATCACCCTGTCAAATAAAACTGGCAGTTCCATGGGGACGCGTTCCGGTGGTACGGTGTCCAAGTAGTCTGGGTTGAAAGTCAAACGATAGGTATGATTAGCAGTTCTTAACCGTCTGGAGCGGGTGATATCTTTCCTCTCCAAACGATAGGGCGTACTTTGGTTGCTCTTCATGATAACGATGTGTGTCTGATGAACGTCTGTACTCTAAGAGGTGCTGAACGTCTGATGGATGGACAACCCTTCCCCAAAACAGGATCGAAATCGGACCAATCCGAAGCCTGGATTGTCGACCAATCAGAAGACAGCAACGACCAATCAGAAGACAGCACCCGAACCGAGTTGTGCTTTCTCTCCCATGGTAAAATCCATTTCCTATGGAAAAGAAACACAAGGGTCGGGTCGTTTTGGAAAACCGAGGTGCAGACCCGGCCCCGGAACGAACCAATCGGTGCGCTGCGTTTTGGACCAACCAGGAAGCAGTGAGTTTCGATCCGGTTCTTCTCCTATAAAACAAGCGTGGATTCGAGTGGATCAGTGTATTTTACATAAAATTGATGTGATAAAATCAAGAATGGCTGAAACAAAGAAGAGTGGTACGGCGACGACGCGTGGCGAAGATGTGGTGATGGTTAGTGCAGAACCTCGTGGATGTTGGAGTAAGAGTCATGCCGAGGAGGCGGTGTCACTGCTCAGTCAAACGCCATCGCACTATTATCTACGCTTTGAAAGAAGACTCGCTTCGTTTGAGGCGTGGCCCACGCAAATGTATCAGACTGCTGAAGAGATGGCCCATGCGGGCTTTGTCTACACTCAGGGTGCCGATGGTGTGTGCTGTTTCCAATGTGGGGTGCGGCTGAGACAATGGGCACCCCACGACAATCCTTGGGTGGCACATCACAAGTGGTCCCCAGACTGCGATTACCTCAAGCTAACCGGGCTGGTGAAACACCAGAAGCAGAGGTACATGAATGACGTAGCGCGGGCGGCTGCCTAGGAGGACGTTTCCCGTGTCCTGCGTTCCCGTTCAAGTTCCTGTTCAAATGTTTTTCTTCCCCAAAACGGCCCTTTTCAGGGCCACCCATCTCACCCAAAAGACAACTTTCCTCCTTTGCTTTGCCGTACAACGACCATCCAAAACAAAGAACCCACACCCTCCCCTAGACCTCTTGGAGGTACACGTCTAAAAATACAATACATAGATATAAATAGAGTTAGATCAATAGATCAATAGATCAATAGAGACACGTAGTACACCATGTCAAACATCACGTGTGCATGAAAACACCTGTCACAGTACGCCTGTCGACCTACACGAGTGTCAACACCTCGGTATCCTTCAATAATAATAATAATAATAATCATTTGAAAACACATACACGCACAGGGCACAACGTTTGCATGTCAACACCCAAAGTACATACATGACGTTCACATCGCGACACGAAGTCCATGACGTGTGCAAACGTCACGCAGGTGTATCGATCTTTCTCTATTCATCTCCATACGACACTACTTGATACACACACAGGACACCACGTTTTGCCTGACCACACGCTATTCTATGCATCAACGTCAACGTCTGTTTGAAGACACACACACACACACACACACACACACACACACTCACACACATGACATTCCGATTGGCATGGGAGTGACACAACGTACATCACGTAGGCATTCCCACGTTCATGTCTACCTATGAAGGTCTACCTTTCCTTTAGCATTCAGACGACCGCCTACCTAAAAAAATACCAAGGCTACCCAAGAAGAAAAAAACCGGATCGAAATCGGACCTATCCGAAGCCTGGGTTATCGACCAATCAGAAGCCGAGCTCGGACCAAGCGGGGCTCTGATTGGCCGAACCCGGGGTTGTGCTTTCTCTCCCATGGTAAAATCCATTTCCTATGGAAAAGAAACACAGGGGTCGGTCCGTTTTGGAAAACCGAGGTGCTGACCGGACCCCCGGAACGAACCAATCGGAGCTGCGGCCTGGCGAACCAACCGGGAGGCAGGGTGTCAGTGCCTCTCCTATAAAACAAGAGTGGATTCGAGTGGGTCAGTGTCACTTGTAAAAGAAAGCATCATGATGAGTAGCAGCAACAACAACAACACCGGCAACAACATCAAAGAAAACTGGGATCTAGAGATCACCACAGTGGCACAACCTTTGCCCGGGTGGAAAGAAACATCACCACCACCACCACCACCACCATGGTCTCCAGCGTGGCAATGTGCCAGGTGCCATGGACCCTGCCCGTCTATGCCCTTGGTACAAGGGTACGGGATGGGACTTTCGAGTGCGTGTACTGCGGGACTGTACTGAAGGACACCTACGTGCGTCGGTTAACGCACACCAGTAGGTGTCCTGTCAGACGCGACATGAAAGCTCATCCGTGCCTTTGTACCATGGGATGCACATGCATGTAAACATCAAAACGGCCCTTTTCAGGGCCACCCATCTCTCCCGAAAGACAGCTTTTCCTCCTTTGCTTTGACGACCCTCCAACCCCCACCACACCGTGAACGCCTCCTCCTTCTCCCCTCCCCTCCCCTCCCTCCCTCCCCTACCTCCCTCCCTCCCACCCTTCACCACCACCACTGTTCACCACCACCACTGTCCTGTTCACCTTGTACGTGCGCTTCTCCGGGTTTTTCCCTCCTCCCCGGACACGGAAGCGACGCCATCTTGCAGGCGCGCGCCACCGGAAACGGAAGTGACCGCTGTCCTCAACTACTGTCGTTCTGACGTGACCCGTAATTAGATGTCCTCAGATTTTAATGAAATTGGCGATCGCAATAATTATGATTCTTGGTTTGTCAGTACTTGCCTTCTGCTCGTTCGGTCTACTCATCTAGTAAACGTCTAAGACCTACATCACATCAGGCTTTCCTCCCACAATATGCTGATATGCTGGGATATTACTGAAATGCCGTTTAACTTAGGGCTTCACGTAACTCGCTTCCTGGTGAGATATTAGTTAAAAAAAGAAGTGTCTTTGGAAAGTGCTTGAATAACGATTTACATTGTATTGCAGCTGTGGGTGACCTACCATGAAACAGACCGAGTCCCTCTGTGCATTGCCGAAAGCCTCAAGAATTTACAGTTGGATTATGTGGACATGTATCTTATTCACGTTCCTGCATCCATGAGGGTAAGTGTAGCATACTTACGTTTACAGCAGCCTGGAGTGAGCAGCGGGTACGTTTTCGTTTTTCGTTTTTCGAATAACGAAACACAAATCAGCAGCGGATTCGTAAATCAAACAGTATATTAAACAGTCACAATGACTTCATTCTAATAATTCAATCAGTCTCCAAGTATATAAGAGCAGGGTGTCTTACATACAATACGTTATTCAAAATAACGAAAACTCAATCAACAAATATGTGAAGCCGTATTTCCTCTATTAAACGCTTGGTTTTGAATAAACGCCGGCTTGTTTATGTAAGAATAAGTGAGTGAGTGAGTGAATATGGTTTTACGCCGCTTTTAGCAATATTCCAGCAAATTCACAGCAGGGGACGCCAGAAATGGGCTTCACACATTGTACCTATGTCGGGAATCGAACCCGGATCTTCGGCGTAACGAGCTCTAACCACTAGGCTACCCGACCGCCGCTGTAAGAATTAGGATGTGTTAAGGTAGTAATTAAGAATTCTGCATTAAAGAGAATAGACGCGGGTTCAAAGGCTTTCGTGGAAGAAATAGATGCCCGGGTGTCTAATTGAGGAAATTCGGTTATCAATCTTCCTACAACTACTTACTTATTCGCACAGTTGACCATTAAAAAAATTTCAAATATCTGTAGCTAGCTGATGTTATGTTTTATAATGAGGCAGGGGGCCTTTTGTGTATATGTATCAATTTACCTAGTCAACTACGGGTCTCATTCTGGGTTTATCAAAAGAATATTAATGGATGCATATGTGAATGAATTACACCTTCTTAAAGGAATATTTATTAGTGATATATAGAATATATCTTTAGAAAATGACATTGGTGAAACCAGTAGAGATCATTTTTAAACGTTTGTGTTTTATCTATATAAATATATTGAACTTCCAAACCCGGTTCAAACGTACACTTCCGACCATAATGCATTAGGGGTTGGTCACGTGACTCCTATTGGAAACCATACCATGTGTTATAGACACATAGAAAGCTCTTGGAAATGTGCATTCGCGTGTATCACTAAAATAAGTCAAACACACAAAAGTAATGACTTAATAGCCATTTTAAGTTATGTAAAAATAAAAACTTCGAAGATTAGACTGTTTATCAGTAACCCCTTATACTTCAAGACTAATGTCGAAACCTCTCACAGTTTGTTGTCTGCGGAGAGAGCAGACCCTGGGCAGTAATCTCAATACAGACAAAGAAAAGCCAAGGGGGAAAATGGGACAAGTCCCAAAACAAGAAAAAGTCCACGTGTATACATTTAAACTTGCCAAAGTGTGCGCAGAACAAATGTTTTTGAGATCCTTAGGATATCACCTGTGACTGCATACTAATTTAACCCATATCAAGGGATTCATCTGGGTGCATCCAATATGACCCTAATTCGAAAACTATTTGTTGTAAACCCCACACCATCTGCTCCCTGTTCTAAGGATACCGTATTCGACGTAATAAGCGCCCCTGCTCTAGTAGGCGCCCACGGCGATATTTGCTAATATAGTAATCCTAATAAGAAGGGCCAGAGGGGACAATGGGACAAAAAGTAAAAAAACAAATTAAAATGCTCCACTGGCCGAAGTGTGCGCAGAACGTTTCCCCAAGTCCCAAATACAAGTCTGTAAATACGACCCCAGTTCCAAAAATATTTGTTGTAACCCCCAGCTGCTCAGAGCATATAAACACATCGTCACTTGTGTAACCAAATATGTTCTTCTCTCATGATGTTCATGCATACTGAATATATCTATAATTTCTATATGTTGTGTTCTTTGTTAACTATTTAGCAAAGCATTAGAGCAAGATGAGTTAAGTAGTCAAGAATCTTAATCTGCATTAGAAATACATTCATGTCAGTGATAGTCAAGTCCATTGTTTCAAGAGAGGGCACAATCCAACGTGAGATAATAGTAACCGTTTTCTAGAACATTTGTGATACGTCCTTCAGAGCTGAATAACTAACTTGTTGAGGGTTGGGTTTTAGTCACTAGTATTCAAAACAGAAAGGCGGACTAAATATCATCTTTTATGTGATAGAATTGTTGGACATAAACTGAGCTTGTGGTGGCTTGTTTTTCGTTATTCGAAAATCAAATAATTACAGGATCTTACTTTTGTTATACCAAGTCTGAATAACGTACCAGTTGCTGGTTAGTGAATAACTGAACAATTAAACGGTTGTTGATGTCTGATAGAATTGTCGGACGTAAACTAAACAACGAACCCTGTGCTGGTTGTCTTTCGTTATTTGAAAGTACTGAATAACCAATCGGCGTTTACCTGTCAGGTGGACATTATGTCATTAGTTGCAGTGTATGTGACCACATTACTGCAGATTTCAATATACAACCCTTTGATAAAGAATCCGCTGCTGGCATGTTTTTCGTTATTGGAAAAACGAAGAACGAAGCCAATGCTAACTTCAGACTGCTTACATACATACGCCCTGGAACTACTTTGTGTAAGCGTAAGTGAGCATTTTCTACATAACAACTATTTTTAGACGATCAGCCTTTTTTGTGAATCGTGTTTCAGTTTTAAATTCAATGATTTTAAACAATCCTTGTAAGCTTTGTAGTTTGTAATTACTTACATCAAGTACTGTCCTTATTGTGACTATGTTTGTGGAACAGGAAACAGGCAAGGGAAAACTTTTTCCTCTGGATGAAAACAACAAGCCTGCATTCTCGGGGGTACAGCTGGTGGATACATGGAAGGTACATACATGCAATATGTATGATATAAAATGGAAAAGCATTAAAGTATTAGACAAACAATACATTGATTTTAAAATATTATTTTTGGTTTCTAAGAAAAGATGGAATCCATGATAAGAGACGTACAGTGTTTTCATGTTGACTCCTCGTTTGATGCTTCATTGTACTCATAGTCAAATCAAATCGAGTCATGTCAAATCGATGATCGTCAACCTGTGTAGATGTCCACGTGTCAAGCTATGATCTTTTTACAGGGGATGGAACAGCTGGCTCGTGAAGGCAAAGCCAAATCCATTGGTGTCTCAAATTTCAACATGCAACAGATTGAAATGATTTGCAAGACAGCTACAATAAAACCAGCCACAAATCAGGTATAGCGGACGCTTTTAATGCTGTTGGTTTGTATTACTGTCAATTCAACTATTTCGTTAATTATTCTTCTTTTCTAACATAAGGTTTGTTAAGGTTTCACCAAGACGTTGCTGTTTTTAAGGCGTAAAACCCTATTACAACTCTTCACACAAATCAATATCTACGAAGCCACGAACCTTTTTCTTTACCCTCGTAATGTCATTATTGTTACTGTTACCAATAAACATTTAATCACTAAATTACCCAGTCTCTTACCCAATGCAAGTTACATAAAAAGATTTCGCGAGGAGGACATTTCTTCTTTGCAGGTTGAGTGCCATTTGTATCTCCAACAAACAAAACTCTTCAAGTTCCTAAAGGAGAGGGGGATAACCCTTACTGCCTACAGCCCCTTCGGCTCACCAGCTCGACCAGCCCACTTGTAAGATTATATAATGATTGAGTGATTTGGGTTTAACGCCCCTTTTAACAGTATTCCAGTTATAACATGGCGTGTCAGCTTAATGTGGGAGGAAAGCCCGAAGTGATGCAGGTCTCAGACGTTTACCACTTTGGTGAAACCCACGAGCACGGGTATGGTGCAGACAAACCTAGAAACATAATCGGCGTGAACCGGGATTCGAACCAACAATCAGAGTGTCCAGGGGACGCAACTCTGCACAGCAAATCGCGGCGCCTTAGACGACTGGGCCACCCGTGTCCCCTGATTATTTAATGAACAATGTTTAAACCAGTATGTTATGATGTAAGTTTTGATCTAGACATTGTGAATAATCAAAATAACAGTATCTGTAACGAGATTTTACCACTGACATCTTTTTGGGTTACCATAAACGGTGACTTCCTATTTGTCCTGCAACTGACCAAGGGAAATCTCCATCGTGTTTGTTTAGGCACTGTTCATCCGTACATTCAGCATTCGTTAACTTCAAATGTAAAAGAAACAATTGTTAAAAGGAATGAGCACTGTATAACATAGTGTCTTATTTGTCCAATTTCACATTTAAGATCCATTTACATCATTCACAGTCCAACTAGATGTGAAACAGCATTGTCATAATCGTTCACTGGTTTCTGGTTGGCAAGAAGTTCTCTTCTCCCTCAGAAGGACATAGTCAAGGTTTCGATACTTCTTCTTCTTGGGTGGCACCAAACTACCTGGATTGTGATGCGGTATTATCCTGCCCAACCTGCAGTATCTAAATGAATCTGTACTTATTTGGATGTCAGTATTCGAGATGATTTTGTGGCGTCGTCCCACTGTCCCACATATAATTGTGCTTCGTGACAAACTCATCTTTGGTGTTAATGATGGTTGGGCATCCTCTTTGGGAACATTTCAAATGAATGGAAGTTTGTTGTCTTGTCTTACTCGTGAAATTGTATCGGCAAAGTCCATGTGCCGATTCCTCTTAGCGTTGGAAATAAACTGTAAGTCATCCTGCGCATTTCCCACAGTGAAAAACTGTTTCTTGTCTGTATTTACTTGTATAGCCCAAATCGTACTGAATGATTAATATGTTCAATCACTCATTGATATATACTTTAACAGTTTTCACCCAGTACAGTGTATTTGAAATAAGTTCGCCAATTAGTTGTGTTGTTATAGTTTGTGAGATATTCGCCTATCATTTGTCTTATGTAAGATGCGCCTTGCTGGCGGAATTCTTCGTTTGCCTGTCGTTTTTTATCGTCCATTTTACGATAGTTCCCTTTCTCAAATACAATTTTGGTCAACCATTTGTAATTTATCATCTGAAGTATTACATTTTGCAAATTTGCTATGTTGACTTGACTTGTCCTGTTGTGAGATCGAATTCATATATTGGAATAGGAAGCTGGTAACATTATTACTGCCTTCATTCATCAAATTACGATACCATTGAAAGTATCTGACCTCAGTGGTTAAGTTATATGATTCAGTAACAATTGTAAACCACCACTTTAGCACTTTACGTAGATCGACTACAAAGGCGTGCATGAAGAAACATAAAAAGAGCATCACATACGCCCATCCCAAATTCCCCATCCCAATTTCCCCATCTCCACACTCCCTCTCCAACAACCCCATCCAACACCTACCTGCCTAATGCAAGATAGTTCGAGCTGCAATGTGAAACACAAAACCACACCCCTCTTTAGACATTAGGCCCTGGACTTTTCTCATATATCTAACGTACCTATCGATCATATTTACTTGTACATTGTGTGTCAACGCTATGTATTCAGACAGGTGGAAGGTGACCCCAAAGTTCTAGAAGACCCAGTTGCTAAGGATCTTGCTACAAAGTACAAAAGATCTGTTGGACAGGTACGTTACATTTTGATCGCAATATGTTGTTGTAATATGGTCAGCACGAAGGAGGTCAATCCATTTTCAATACAACTCTCTTTATTATGCAGATTCACCTACGCTATCTTGTCCAACGAGGTATCATTGTTATACCCAAGAGCAGTAACCCTGGGAGAATTCGGGAAAACTTGCAGGTATGTTTCATGCCATGACTTTTCAAGTATCTGCAAATATATAACGTCAATGCAAAAGAATAGCTTGAAAGTAAATATGTGTCCTGTAATATTAATTGTAGAGAAATCACACAATACCCTGCTATACATCTTTAACATGAGTATTACAGACAACCTAAACCTGCACTATCATTATTCACATATCACAATGTAATGAAATGTATTTAGGAGAAGTGCTTGTACATTTGATTTTCGGCAATAAAATGTGTTTAAATCAAATCAAACCACAACCTTCAGAATGACCAGTCATGTTATTGTTGTATAAGCAGTGATAATCAGAAGTGAAAGGATGGCTAATAACTAGGCATGATGTTCAATTGCTGTCATTTATATTTTTAGGTAAAATTACTTTGCGCCAAATAAAGGCAATTTATATATGATAACTATGATCCTTCTTTGTCATAATCCTACTGTGCTTTGTTCCGTATAGGTATTGCTGCTATTATTAATACTCGAGTGTTTTCATCGTAGCCTACTTACAGGTTTCCGATATACCCGGCTGTCTATGTACAAGTATGTTTTTGCAATGGTATTCGTAATTTAACTGGTTTTCTTGGCATCACAGGTATTTGACTTCAAATTATCTGACACGGACATGTCAAAACTTGCCTCACAAGACAAGAAGCTACGTTTTTTTACCGTTCCGGAGTAAGTTTAGATTTTTCCTATTCTGAATACTGAACATGGATATTTGCTCATTGTCAATGTCGTGGATATTAATGAAGAAAGACCCACACATCTATTCGGACCACTAAAACACGGTATTAAAATGTACTGAAATGACGGTATTGTTTCTGTTGTCACGAAAACAGAAAATGTTATCTTATGAGATGAAAATAATATTCCTTACAATCGCATTCTGAAAACATGTTAAAATTTGTAAAAGTGGCTTCTCTTGGCAACAAATATTATTCTGTAATAAAACTCTTCACTGCAGATTCAAGGGTCACCCCAGCTACCCCTTTGACGAACCACTCTGAAATGGGTATCTGCAGCACGGTTCAAGAGAGGTCCTCAATTTGGACACCAGATGTGAGGATCATTTTCGTGGCAGGATATGGACTCCGTGATAAACATTGTGTCTCATTAGTATGTTCTTCTGTCTGTTACTGTGTTAACGTTCGTAAACCTTAGCAATATATTTAAGATTATTTTGTTTCTTTCCTTTATTAACACAAATGTTTGGCTTATTTGAAAGTACTGTATAGTTATTGTCATATTTCTCTGATATGTAAATGAAGTTTGAAATTTACAAAAAAACGTTAACGAATACACGTACCTTGTTACCAGAGTGATATATACCTCGTCAGTGAAGCGTTAATCTGTATGTTGCTTTGAATGTGTGATGTTGATTTTGTTTTACATATTAAATTAATAAATTCTGTGCATTGTATTTTCTTGAAGTGCATCTTGAATAAAAATGGTGTACACTCCATGTTAATGTGCAAGAGCAAGTTTCAGTGTGTACATTAGCGTCATACTGCACACGTTTCCAAAGGCAAGTTCATGGTTATTCATGAGAAAGCATGACAATGTGTATTGATATACGTTTTTCACGAGTTAGGTATGCTGGGGTAGCCTGGTGGTTAAAGCAATTCGTCACCGAAGACCGGGATTTGATTTCAGGGATTTGGAAAGATAATTTCAGCCCATTATGAGTGTCCTGTGCCGCTGATACAACTGGGCCTAGTTCGTTTTAATGTACATATTCACTTTCAATGACTTCATTTCAAGTAGGGGGCACGGGTGGCCCAGTCGTCTAAGGCGCCGCGATTCGCTGTGCAGAGTTGCGTCCCTTGGGCACGCCAGAAACCTATGATTGTGGGTTCGAATCCCGGTTCGCCCCGATTATGTTTCTAGGTTTGTCAGCACCATACCCGTGCTCGTGGGTTTCACCGAAGTGGTACACGTCTGAGACCTGCATCACTTCGGGCTTTCCTCCCACATTAAGCTGACACGCCGTGATATAACTGGAATACTGTTAAAAGCGGCGTTAAACCCAACTCACTCACTCACTCATTTCAAGTAGAACACAATCTCAATTTCAATTGACATTGACACTGACAATGGGTGTCCTCACGCTCACATTTGTTATTCGCTTTCATTTAACATTGATTGCCAACTCACATATGGCATAAAACTTTGTACAATGGCTGCTCACTCGCTTACCTTGTACAATGGCTGACTTACTCGCTTACGTTGTACAATGGCTGCTCACTCGCTTACCTTGTACAATGGCTGACTTACTCGCTTACGTTGTACAATGGCTGCTCACTCACTTACCTTGTACAATGGCTGCTCGCTCGCTTACCTTGTACAATGGCTGCTCACTCGCTTACCTTGTACAATGGCTGACTTACTCGCTTACGTTGTACAATGGCTGCTCACTCGCTTACCTTGTACAATGGCTGCTCGCTCGCTTACCTTGTACAATGGCTGCTCACTCGCTTACCTTGTACAATGGCTGCTCGCTCGCTTACCTTGTACAATGGCTGCTCGCTCGCTTACGTTTTACAATGGCTGCCGCAAAACCTTCATAAGAGTATCAACGACACATTTTGACGTTCACAAGACTTTACTCTTGGAAAGGCCAAACACTGTATAAACGTCGACGTAAGCTCCGAACTTCACACACATCGGTTCCCACTCTGTGAAGATTCATACTCCAATGGCCTCACAAAATATCTTCTTTTTTTCTTTGTTGTTTAACGCCGCACTCGGCAATATTCCAGCTGTATGACGGCGGTCTGTAAATAATCGATTCTGGACCAGACAAGCCAGTGATTGACGTCATGAGTATCGATCCACGCAATTGGAATGCTATGACATGCATCAACCAAGTCAGCGAGCCTGACCACCCGATTCCGTTAGTCGCCTTTTACGACAAGCATAGTCGCCTAAGTGAAATCTCAGTTCCTTAGTGTTCACAATAAGCGTGTCCATATACTAGTACTGAATCTGAGAAAAACGTAGTGTATGGTAATACAAGTAAAACAGATTAAATCCGCAAACAATTAACACGTTCAATCATTTATATTTTACTGATGACGTCTATTCCATTTCAGTGTAAGTATATGCAATATGCAAGAATACATTTTACAATATTAAACGTCGACGCCAGTCTCGATTATTTGCCGAAACAGATTCAATTGGGTGTGAAGGGCATAACAGTGATGAAAAGTATATGTATGATACAAGGTTTTTGCGAAAAGGATAAGCATGCCCTACTCTACGGGTAGCACCCGACACTCACACAGTGTGCATAGATAAGATAGTGTGTGTTTGTTCCATATATGTCTACTGAATTGAAATCAAAATATTTAATTAAATAAAATTAAAAAGTTAGTGTGTGTTGTCTTAGGCAGTACAACTGTACTCCTGTCATTAAAGACACCTGATAGTTTGCGAACATTTGGAACGTGTCACGTTACGTTGACTGGTGTACTCGTACCTGAGGAGGTTAATGTGATTTATATAACATGTTCAGACACCTGATCACCTCTGTGTGTAAATATCATATACATGTGCACGAACATAAGCCCTGCAAAAAAAACACCGAATGTGAGGTCAACATACCTGTATTTAACCTATATTGTGTGGTTTTGTCGACAAGATAAAGTCAACGGACAAAAATGGTATTCGTTGGAGTCATATGCGGATAAATGAGAGAAGAAGCTGTAGTAAAATGTCCAATAAGCGTTCAGCGCTGTGTGGGAGGAAGTTGGTGTAAATTGTCTAATACGTGTGGAAAAAAAATGTATTATTATCCAATGAGCGTTCAGTACTGTGTGCGAGGAAGATGTATAAGCGTTTAGCGCTATGTGTATGAAAGATGTTGTATATTATCTAATAAGGGTCTAGCGTTATGTGGGATAAACTTATTAGTATAATGTTAAGCCCATATCGGCTGTTTTTAACAGGTTACATTGCTCAAATATGTTGGGGTTTTTCAATTCGAAAGAAATGTAAATAGGGAATGTTCGTGTCTCATAGGCCCTGCGGTCGGATATTGCACTGTTTGCTTTTTATATGATTTATTGTATCGTAATATGTGACACGTAAATAATAATATAAAATCTTCTTCTTAACTGTTAACTGCAAAATACACATCGGAGAAGGTAGCTGATGTGGCCAGTGTATAGAGGCAAGTCAACCGGATCCGCTCGACCGGATAGAGCATCGTTACATACTAGAGTTCTGCTGGACAGGTACAGCGTTGTCGTATGCTTGTTGTCAGCCAGAAAAGAATAATGAAGTTGTATACTTGAGTTCACCGGACAAGATAGCATATTTGTATAGTGGAGTTTACCCAAACAAGCATCGCATAGACATATACTGGAGTTCGCCCGGACAAGCATATCACAGTTGCACATCGGAGTTAACTCAGACAAGATAGCATATCTGTATAGTGGAGTTCAACCAAACAAGCATAGCATAGATATATACTGGAGTTCGCCCGGATAGGCATATCACAGTTGCACACTGGAGTTCACCAGACAAGATAGCATATCTGTATAGTGGAGTTCAACCAAACAAGCATAGCATAGATATATACTGGAGTTCGCCCGGACAGGCATATCACAGTTGCACACTGGAGTTCACCAGACAAGCATAGCATTGTTGCATCCTGGTGTTCACCAGACAAGCATGGCTCGCTTACGCAAGCACAGCAAAGTTGTATACTGGAGTTCACCAGACAAGCATGGCATTGATATATAGTGGAGTTCGCCAGAGAAGCAGAGCATATTTATATGCTGGAGTTCACCAGACAAGCATGGCGTATTTGTATACTTGAGTTCGCTCAGGCAAGCATAGCATGTTTGTATACTGGACTTAACCCAGACAAACCCCGCACAGTTGTACACTGGACTTCACCAAGACAAGAATCACGTCCTTGTATACCGAAATTCCCCCAGACAAACACAGTATAGTTGTATGTTGGAGTTCACCAGACACGCACAGACAGTTGTATGCTTGAGTTAACCAGACACGCACAGAAAGTTGTATGCTGGAGTTCACCAGACACGCACAGAAAGTTGTATGCTGGAGTTAACCAGACACGCACAGAAAGTTGTATGCTGGAGTTCACCAGACATGCACAGAGAGTTGTATGCTGGAGTTAACCAGACCCGCACAGAAAGTTGTATGCTGGAGTTAACCAGACACGCACAGAAAGTTGTATGTTGGAGTTAACCAGACACGCACAGAGAGTTGTATGCTGGAGTTCACCAGACCCGCACAGAAAGTTGTATGTTGGAGTTAACCAGACCCGCACATACAGTTGTATGTTGGAGTTAACCAGACACGCACAGAAAGTTGTATGCTTGAGTTAACCAGACCCGCACAGAAGGTTATATGCTGGAGTTAACCAGACACGCACAGAAAGTTGTATGTTGGAGTTAACCAGACACGCACAGAAAGTTGTATGCTGGAGTTAACCAGACACGCACAGAAAGTTGTATGCTTGAGTTAACCAGACACGCACAGAGAGTTGTATGCTGGAGTTCACCAGACACGCACAGAAAGTTGTATGTTGGAGTTAACCAGACACGCACAGAAAGTTGTATGTTGGCGTTAACCAGACACGTACAGAGAGTTGTATGCTGGAGTTCACCAGACACGCACAGAAAGTTGTATGCTGGAGTTTACCAGACAAGCACATACAGTTGTATGTTGGTGTTAACCAGACACGCACAGAAAGTTGTATGTTGGAGTTAACCAGACATGCACAGAAAGTTGTATGCTGGAGTTAACCAGACACGCACAGAAAGTTGTATGCTGGAGTTAACCAGACACGCACAGAAAGTTGTATGCTGGAGTTAACCAGACAAGCACATACAGTTGTATGTTGGCTTTAACCAGACACGCACAGAAAGTTGTATGTTGGAGTTAACCAGACACGCACAGAAAGTTGTATGTTGGCGTTAACCAGACACGCACAGAGCGTTGTATGTTCGCTTTAACCAGACACGCACAGAAAGTTGTATGCTGGAGTTAACCAGACACGTACAGAAAGTTGTGTGCTTGAGTTCACCAGACAAACACAGAAAGTTGTATGTTGGCTTTAACCAGACACGCACAGAAAGTTGTATGCTGGAGTTAACCAGACAAACACAGAAAGTTGTATGTTGGCGTTAACCAGACACGCACAGAAAGTTGTATGCTGCAGTTAACCAGACACGCACAACAAGTTGTATGCTGCAGTTAACCAGACACGCACAGAAAGTTGTATGCTGGAGTTAATCAGACACGCACAGAAAGTTGTATCCTGGAGTTAACCAGACACGCACAGACAGTTGTATGCTGGAGTTCACCAGACACGCACAGAAAGTTGTATGCTGGAGTTAACCAGACACGCACAGAAAGTTGTATGTTGGCTTTAACCAGACACGCACAGAAAGTTGTATGCTGGAGTTAACCAGACACGCACAGAAAGTTGTATGCTGCAGTTAACCAGACACGCACAGAAAGTTGTATGTTGGCGTTAACCAGACACGCACAGAAAGTTGTATGCTGCAGTTAACCAGACACGCACAGAAAGTTGTATGTTGGAGTTAATCAGACACGCACAGAAAGTTGTATCCTGGAGTTAACCAGACACGCACAGACAGTTGTATGCTGGAGTTCACCAGACACGCACAGAAAGTTGTATGCTGGAGTTAACCAGACACGCACAGAAAGTTGTATGCTGGATTTAACCAGACACGCACAGAAAGTTGTATGCTGCAGTTAACCAGACACGCACATAAAGTTGTAGGCTGGAGTTCACCAGACACGCACAGACAGTTGTATGCTTGAGTTAATCAGACACGCACAGAAAGTTGTATGCTGGAGTTCACCAGACACGCACAGAAAGTTGTATACTGGAGTTAACCAGACACGCACAGAAAGTTGTATGTTGGCGTTAACCAGACACGCACAGAAAGTTGTATGCTGCAGTTAACCAGACACGCACAGAAAGTTGTATGTTGGAGTTCACCAGACACGCACAGAAAGTTGTATGCTGGAGTTCACCAGACACGCACAGAAAGTTGTATGCTGGAGTTCACCAGACACGCACAACAAGTTGTATGCTGGAGTTCACCAGACACGCACAGAAAGTTGTATGCTGGAGTTCACCAGACACGCACAGAAAGTTGTATGCTGGAGTTCACCAGACACGCACAGAAAGTTGTATGCTGGAGTTCACCAGACACGCACAGAAAGTTGTATGCTGGAGTTCACCAGACACGCACAGAAAGTTGTATGCTGGAGTTCACCAGACACGCACAGAAAGTTGTATGCTGGAGTTAACCAGACAAACACAGAAAGTTGTATGCTGGAGTTCACCAGACACGCACAGAAAGTTGTATGCTGGAGTTCACCAGACACGCACAGAGAGTTGTATGCTGGAGTTAACCAGACACGCACAGACAGTTGTATGCTTGAGTTAACCAGACACGCACAGAAAGTTGTATGCTGGAGTTAACCAGACACGCACAGACAGTTGTATGCTGGAGTTCACCAGACACGCACAGACAGTTGTATGCTGGAGTTCACCAGACACGCACAGAAAGTTGTATGCTTGAGTTAACCAGACAAGCACAGAAAGTTGTATGCTGGAGTTCACCAGACACGCACAGAAAGTTGTATGCTGGAGTAAACCAGACACGCACAGAAAGTTGTATGCTGCAGTTAACCAGACACGCACAGAAAGTTGTATGCTGGAGTTCATGCACACAAGCACAGCATTATTTTTATACTGTAGTTCACCCAGCCAATAATAGCGTTGAAGGCAAGGAAGTACACCACGAAACGGATCGTAGTCTTTTGTAGAAGAATATTAACAGGTATACAAATTCATTGAATGTAGTAATTATTCCTGCTTGAAATCACTTGAAAGCAGTTCCCCGTCACCTTGATCCCTTGTATACGGCGTCAGAGGAATGTTTGTGTAAGCTGTTGGTATATCCCAAACAGGTTCTAAGTTCATGCTTGAACGCATATCATTCTCCCAGTCGAATCAACGTCTTCAATATACAACATGTTTTTAAATGACAAAAGATAGACGACCGGTGCAGCGTACGACGCGCTCTCCTGGCTTGAGATTATGTTGGGGAAGGCGGTTATGACTGAAGATCGGAGTCAATCGTCATCCCTCAGCTGTGATAAGTAGCATCAGAGCCCATTCAAAAAGCACATTTCGTTCCTCCTTGTGTACGGCTTGTCCCATGCTGTTGTTTAAATAGATTCCTATAATTGTCTACTGTATATATGTATAAAGTAATTGAATACAGGAAGCCGTGACAAATGTGATATGTGTCGATGGAACCTTCTTTAACAGGATTGTTCTTGGCAAAATGCGTTGCGTTATCTTGTCAGTACAAAATATTCTTTTTGCGAACTGTTTAAGTAATCTGCTCTTAGTTACTCATATTGGAATTTCCCTATGTATGCCCTATATCAAGATGAATAGATGTCATATGTGTATATACAGCTGTATATATAACAGCGACAAAACTATGCCCATATTGATAAAGAATCTCCGTTAAAAGCAGAGTCGATTGTACGATTCCGACTACATCATGAGCATGTGTTTATGAATCACTATCAAAACGTGCTGACACCAGGGCCCACTTGCACAAAGCGATCTTAGCGCTAAGATGATCGTAACTCCCATACTTTAACATAGGCTTACAATAGACTTAGCGCTAAGATCGTTTTGTGCAAGTTGGCCCTGGTGTGCAACACATGCAAACTAGTGCAACCCATACTTCCTCCGCCAGTGGACGACACGAAGAATACGATTCAGACAGTGAAAGTATTACTAACTTCACAAAAGCACGTTCAACCCAAGCTTCATCTGCGCGTGAACCACTTGGAGAAATGAGTGAGTTATGTTTAACGCCGCTTTTAACAATATTCCATTTATATCACGGCGTGTGAGTTTAATGTGGGAGGAAAGCCCGAAGGGATGCAGGTCTCAGACGTTTACCACTTCGGTGAAACCCACGAGCACGGGAATGGTGCTGACATGACAAACCTAGAAACATAATCTGGGGGAACCGGGATTCGAACCCACAATCATAGGTTTCTGGCATGCCCAAGTGACGCAACTCTGCACAGCGAATTGCGGCGCCTTAGACGACTAGGCCACACGTGCTCCCTCTTGGAGAAATGAGATATTTGGGGATTGATTGCAACAACATAACGCATGTGCTCATTTGCAACTCGGAAAACAAAGTTTGCAACAAAGGTCTCCTGGGCTGTATAGTAGGTGGAGAGCATTCTCGACAAGTGGAAAGCTCAGTGGAGATAGTGTCATCATCAGTTCAATTCGGAACTTTGGGCGTTCGAAAGTGACAATGAAAGAAACTGAAAATATTCTGGATAACCTGAAACGAAAGTTTAAGGTTGACTTGAAACTATGCGATAAAAGTGATTATTAAAATAATTTTATTCATTTTTCAAATCTAAAGTCATATAAGAAAAATATCATCATCTAGCCGATTGCACACATACACACATTAAACGTCAAGCTGAAGCGTCAAGGCAACATAGTTCAACCATTCAACCATTTACATTCACTCAATGAATAAATTATCACATATGATTTGCCCTTCAATCTGTCCATCTTCCATCCCGACAAGTATCCGTGGACCTCCACCATTTTTCTAAATCTTCAACAATTAATTTCGGTTTCTGATCATCACTAACCAGAGAGCACAACCGACACCAAAATTTGGTGTTTAAGAAGCTGCCAGTCCCTTTCCAGTTGAAATATTCATTATAAAGTTCATCATTTTTGTCCAGCATTTTCATGTATTCGGCTAAGTCTTTCGCTGACTTGAAGTTCTCAACGTGAATGTAGGAATGTGGGGGTGCAACCTCCTCATAGTCTTCTGGGTGCGCGCCCATCACAATCGGAATGGCGTCATGACTGAAAACATAGAAAAGTACAGTCCTTTAATTTATTATCACATGGTATTTGACAGTAGTCGAAAAAGGCTAAAATGGAACTGTCATATTCACGAAGATTTCAACGTCTTCGTGCATAGGAATGAGTGATTTTAGTTTAACACCTATTTGAACCGTTTTTTTTAGTTACATCAATGAGTGTCAGCTTGATGGTGAGGAAAACCAGTAGTGATACAGGTTCTTGACGTGTCACTACCGTGGTACTGATGTGAGAAGGTAGATTTTCAAAACATTAAAGGGCAAGTTCACACGGAAATGAACCTATTTTTCTTGTACTTTTTCCACATTAAAAGTGTTAACCTATAAGTGTCATAGACAAAAATATAAAAATATCACAATTAATTAACATATTTTTCGCATTAAAACTATTTATATTTTTCACATTTACCAAGTGTTCTATTTCCATAACAAAAACACCATGGCTTATGCCCCTTGCAATATGACGTCATTGGTGCCAATTGATAAACATTATGACGTCATCATGCTTTGTTAGAGCCGCTTCACGTGGTGAAGGTACAGGTGTGTGATTCTTGCGTCTCAGATACCAGCCAGCATAGTGTTATGCTGAGTCACCACTGCGCCGGAGTGTGTCGTAGGCCATGTTGTTTTACCGCAAACTGGTACTTGATATCTTTTGCGTTGAGAATAGACAGGGACCCAGTTGATTTGGCAGCAATTACGTCATAATCTAAGGGGGATAACTCAGGCCTGTTTAGCTCGAAAAACGAAGGCCTCATAACGGCATATCATTTTCACACTATTGTGAGCTTCCTACTTTGAAATGTGAAATAAATGATGGTATATTTTCAAACACAGATACTAACCAATTCTAAACTTGAGTTTTGTTGAGAAAAGAAAGAAAGTGATTTTTGCCTGTACACTTCCCCTTTAACGTAGCATTGCGGTATATTGAACTTAAAAGGCTCGTTCGTTGTATTTTCTTGTAGTTATTGATTATAAACAAATCCACAAATCCAATTGTCGAGAAAGTAAGAGATGTGATTTTTTTAGAGTAATAAGGTATGTGTGTTACACAGCGGCACAGTGACACCTTCACCCAATCGTCAACTTTAACCCAGTCTCACTGGAATCTTTGTGCCAAGTTTACACTTTTCTAACCAAAGTCAACATTGAATCGTTTAAAAAACTTTGGAGCAGATACAAAATGTCAAAAGCTCGGTCTTTATCAACAGGCCTGTTGCCATTTAAATGTCATGGCACCGAGCAAAATGTCAAATAGTGAATACAAGAGTTAAAGATTAAAACAAAATTGCAAAGAAAAATTGAGTCGGTGAATGGTAAAAGTTTTAAAACTTAACCAGCATTTTACGCTAAATCATAAGCAATCTACTGAAGGCAGAGTCTGCTGTATATTGTTTTTCAACTTTATCATAAGCAAGTGTTTATGTTTTCAGGCGGAGACAAGTTATGGAAAGTTTGTTGTCACTTTTTATCTTGATGCATAGTTCTAAATATCAAACGGATGAGTCAGTATATTTTATTTCTATAAATGTCTTATTTTTATAAATAATTGGATGGGAATTGGCCATTTCACCATTATAACGATATCAGATATCAGATGTACCTACAGCTTACGTTAAACTTTTAAGTTAAATCCAGTGTTTTGAAGTTTCCAGTCCGAGCACAAATTCCGTTTCGCGTGAATTAAGAAACAGTCCACCAAGTAGTGGAGGACGGTTGGTACCGTTGGAGAAGCCCATTCTTGCCTAAACATTCCCCAATTTCCTTTTGATGTTATATGTTAAGGCAGCATTTCACGTTCTGGTTTCTCAGTAAACTTCAGATAACATTTGCCTTTAGTTTTAACAAATTGTCCTGAACCTTTGAAAATGGTGATGTACAGGTGTTACGTGATTCACTTATCGCACGTTCAAGGGTACATGTGGCCTAGTCGTCTATGGAGCCATTATTCCGTTTGGAGATTTGCCCGTCAGAAATCGATAATCCTTGGTTCCAATCCCAGATTCACCCCGATTATATTTCTATATTTGGCATTACCTGTGCTCAACTGCGAAAAGTTTTGGCCAAATTCCCAAGTGCAAAAATGTCTAAAACCTTCATTGTTGTAGTCTTCCTCCTTTGTATGAAACTGACATACATGATCAGAGTGGCGTTAAATCAAACTCACACACTCACAGACGTTTACGTTCATATAGTCTGAGAACTAGGTTAATATGTGCTTCTTTTATTTCGATTGGTTACCTAAACTCGGCTCACTTCAATATCCCAGCATTGGGAGGACTTCAAATTGGAACTGGATTTGCTAGTTTCGTTGTTTTACGTGACTATCACAATCACAACACGCTTTATAAAGTGATATTCAGTTTTAACTTATATACCTAATTTACATTATCCATGATAAATAGGTTTTCTCAAAATCGTTGGTAACGCCACGCGAAACACATGAAGATGGATCACTTTGTATGCTGTATGAAACGCTTTGTATGCTGTATGCTGTACCAGAATAAACCGAATAGAGGTGAGGTGAAATGGGGTTTAACGTCGCACTATTATTGCACTTATATAGCGACGTGTGAATGCACGTGTGTGTGTGTGTGTGGCTGCTTGTACTAGTCCGGACTGATGCCGATTTATAGTGCCAGCCCACTGAGATGCCATGCCGCAGTTTAACATGAATACCCCACTCAGACACAGTATACTGACTCCGAGCCGACCAGTCCTTGTTTTAGCCCCTTAATGCCGAGCCCAAGACAGGGTAACAACAAGTACAATCTTTTAATGTCTCTTGGTATGACGCGGCCGGGGATCGAACCCCGGACCTTTCGCTTACCGGGCGGACGCTCTACCACTAGACCAAGGAGGCGGTCTAAACCAAATCGACACCTATGCACTTCAACACCTGGTTGTAAATGTGGAGGGAAGTCAAGATCGTGAGCACGAATACCCGCCCTCATCATTGTACGTTAAGGCTCCTCATTAAACGCATACATACGTATTTTCTCGCAAGTATGTTTACCATTTGGGATGTCTCTTTCTCGCACATTCTGCGAACTCGTTGGAATGAGCTGAATTGAATGTAGCATGTTAAGAATAGAGTTTTGGACAATCCCAGCATATAATCAGATCCTGTTCACTTTGTAATTAAGGTGATTAAGGATAAGGAAGAAGGATAATTGTTGTCGCGATTGGTCCTGATCATTGACAGACAGGTTTGTAATTTAACGTAACGACTGTCAGCATTTATTTTAAAAGCTATTTTGGAAATTCTAATCCCAGTTGAGGTTGGCCCCAAGCACCCTATCGCTGGTCGTAAGAGTTAGTGAGTGAGTTGGGTTTAACGTCGCTTTTAACCTTATCCCAGTTATATCGCGGCGTGTCAGCTTAATTTGGGAGGAAAGCCCGAAGTAATACAGGTCTCAGACGTTTACCACTTCGATGAAACCTACGAGCACGGGTATGGTGCTGACAAACCTAGAAACATAATCGGAGCGAACCGGGATTCGAACCCACAATCATAGGTTTCTGGCGTGCCCGAGGGACGCAACTCTGCACAGCGAATCGAAGCGCTTTAGGCGACTGGGCCACCCGTGTCCCCGCCGGGCGTAAGAGGCGGTTTAATTAAATCGGTGGTCAGGTCCTGTGATTTGGCTGATGTCATTTCCCTATGGCGTGGATCAGTGCTCATGTTTTCAGTCACTGGTTTGCCTGGCCCATTCTCGATTATTTAGAATAAGTCTACGGCGTTTAACAACATACGCTCTCATGTATTGCAAGGTAAACTTGGAGGAATTTCAAATTTTACCATGAAGATTGCGATATTTAGATCCATATTAGGTTTTCTACATCTGTACAGGCCATAACACTTACAGATAGTAATCGACAAATAATCCAGACTTTTTATTATCTGGCGTTGAAGTTTTATATTTACAAAGGAGCACAATTCAGTAACTTTAAATCTTAGAAAGCATTGAACGCTTGCCACACAGAGCAGTACGTGATTGCAAATATTATTTTGGGTCAATCTGAAACGGGGTGTTCGCATTTTGCCGGCAGGTATTGTTCTCATATAAATATCACCAAACCAAGATAATCCCTGGAACAATGGGGATTAAGCTTATATTGTTAGTTCCAGGTTTGAATATAGACTGCTGCTGGCATACTGGGTACTGGTGTAACTATCTATACATACTGCAACTGTAACATGAATAAAGTATATTGCAATATTATTTTTCGATTCACAAAATAAAATATTATTTTAGTTTCATGTGCACAATAATTTTATAGGAATGAATAGCAAAAACGGCACAGTGAGTACATTTTTAGTTTAACATTATAAGACACCATGGTGAGAATAAAAGCGAAAAACAAATCTTTCCATATTCAAAAGAAAACTCTGCCAAAATCGATAGTACGATTACGACTATATCTTGAGCATGCGTTCATGAATCTCTGCTAAACTATGATACAAAGTGTTCCCGAAAAGATGAGCATACCCTGCTCCATAGGTTGCACCAATCACAAACACATGCAAAGGCAGGTCAAGTGTTCACCTGAAAAAATACGGGAACACGCGGTACAAGTGAAAATAGGGAATTGCATCGGACATTATTTTTGTCACTGAAGCGTCACATTTGGAAATATCCTCCACTTGTCTACATATCGAGGTTGATCTGTGCATTGGCCATGTTGAAATGACACTGACCGGGGAACACAGTATTTGTATAAAACGTGGATCCGTTAACAGTCCAGAGGGACATTACTCGGTCTATCTGCGCTCCGCCTATCTGTGGTCATGTGTCAAGCGTTTATATTTGTACCAGTGTTATCACACTGTTTGGACATCGTACACACATTATCTTCATACAATGGGCAGGGTAGTAGCCTAGTGGTTAAAGTGTTCGCTCGTCACGACGAAGACACGGGTTCGATTCCCAACATGGGTACAATGTGTGAAGCCCATTTCTGGTGTCCCCCGCCGTG